GAGAAAATAGAATTAAATAATAATTTGGTTGCTTGCCGGAAGAATAGTGACTTTAACGTTATAAGGATCTTTCCTTATCAACCATGTTTTTCTTGCAGTTTCTACCGGCGTTCGTTTGGGGTTTGATGAATTAATGTTAATACCAAAAATGAACTGCGATTATTACTTAATTAAATATATATATATATTAATTTATATTAAATAAGTGAGTAATAATAATACTAAGTGTGGGAGAGCCATGCTTCGGCACGAATGGGTCGGCTCGACCGGAGTGATACCACGGCCTCATAGAAGACCGGCGTGAAACAACCACAGCGTTGTGTTTCGCCGTGTGAGTGAGGTTACCGGAGGCCCAATCCTTCCCCGCCCCCAACCCCTCCTCAATCCCTAAATCTTCAAGTCCCTAACCCTAAAAGGTCGGCAACGCACCTGTAACTCCTTCGTTGCGGGTGTCCATGGGCGGCGCTGATTGCTTACCATCAGGTAATCCGTCTGCTCGTTTGCCAACCAATTACATAAAAAAAAATTATAGCCTAAGTCGATCCACATAGCGTTCTGTAATTTCTTTCTGCAACAAAGGTTTTAGTTTATGTACTATTGTTTGTTTGGTAGTCATTATCTATGTGTGAATCTCTGCATTATCACAAATAATGGCTCATTATCGGTCAATTCACAAACTTTTACTATGATATCAATCCTATAGATAGAAAATTGTATCAGTAAGTAGGTACCTATATGACAATTTGAATGTAAAGAGTTCCTGTTTATATAATTTAATTTCAATAGATTCAGCCTTTTCTTTGTTGTTTATTAATAAATATACATCCTCAAATCTCTAACAACCTTCTTAAGTTCTTGTGATCGTTTCCACGGGCAACGGTCATTGTTTATCATCAGGCATTCCGTCTGCTCGTTAGACCGCCTTATCCCAGAATATTATTGTTATACGTCATTATAAATGCCTACCTGCTTACATAAATTATATCCTTTCATTCGAAAAGGTTTTTAATTATGGATGTATGTTTGTTACTCCTTCACGTATAAAACTACTACTACTTATAATCAGGAATCACATATAGTTTACTTTTGACCCTGATTCTTTTTTTTTGTTTGAAATGATCTAATGACTAGTCCGGCTCTGGGTGCGATGTAAGGCAGTGTCAGACTCTGACTAAAAACCACATCGTTCCTGGTCCTGCTCCGGTTCGTACTTTATTGCTCTTGCAACCACAGCGCCGGTTGGTTGACCCTGATGCTGCGGCTGAAGCAGAAACTAGTTGTGTATTCTAATATATGAATATTATTAAGGAAGATATTAACAAAAAGCTTTTATGGTTAAGGTTTCTCAAGTTTCTAAACTAACTCACAAAGTACCTATTAGATAATCTGCAACCGTTCACACGTTCTCATTCTCAGAAAGACATATTTGACCGTTTACTTGGCTCATTATTAAGTAACTTTAAACATAAAATGGTTGAAAAGTGCATTCTATAATTTTAAATGAAGTCGAAATCGCCTCTTCCCCGAAGGGGTAGGCTCAGGTTTCTCATCCTGCACTGAGAATCAGTTTAGTCACAAGTCCCGTGTCGTAGGATGTCAACCAATCCCCATAATATATCGGACACGATTTTGGACTCCTTGCTGGTACTGAGAAATTTCAAAAATGCGAAAAAATATAAAACAGAATCCGAGTCCTGTCTAGAAATCATATCAAGAGGTCATGTCTTGGGCACGAACGAGGCAGCTTATATATGTTTATTTCGTTTCACAGTTGTCACAGTAATTAAATTGGGTTTTTGTATACTTAACTAGCGGCGTGCCCCTGCTTCGCACCGGTGTCAAACTACCTCTCTAAAGACGAAAAGGTTGATATTTCTCCTTTACCTTTCTAGATGTTTTCATAAAAACCTTTTGACAATAACGGACTCTACAAAAAATAATTATGAAAATTGGTCCAGTCGTCTTTGAGTTATGCGCTTACCAACACATTTTACGATTCATTTTTATATATAGGTATAGTTTATACTTACGAGGATGTGCGAAAAATTGATTCGATCAGTGCAGTAGTTTCAATGAGTTGTAATTATTGTTGTTGAAGATTATTGTATTATTCAATAAACATTACGAATACTTCACTCTGTATCGTGTTTCCAATAAGATAACATAACAGATCTGCCGACAGCTTCTTCTGTATTATTAAGATTACTAATATGCCAATTATTGTCACGTAAATTAAAATCTTGCATACTATTTTTACTGTAAACTTAGAATAAATAGTTTTCAAAGCCACTATTCTAAAAAAACTTATCTTGTTCTTAAGCCATGACCATAAATGTGGATGGATGGAGAGGGAGAGGGAGACCAAAGAAAATATGGTTGGTTTGTGTGAGAAATGATATGGAAGACAGAGGAGTCAGTGATAGCGTGACGGATGACAGGACAAAATGGAAGAAAAAAACATATTGCGCCGACCCCAAATAAAACGGGACAAGGGCAGGAAGATGATGATAATGCTCTTCTATCGATATATCTCTATTATCAAAATCCGCACAGCAATTTTGTACTATGAGTAACACAAATCGCTCCTCGCAAATATGTTGTGTAGAACATATTGCCAAATGTTATATGACGACGTCACGTTAACACCATGATCGGCATGTATTCTTCATGTCATCGTACGCTTTATACGATTTATATTTAGCTTATTAAAAATACTTAGTATAGTTTACGTATACGAATAAATTAATATTGTCTCTGTTTATTATATGCTAGCTACTCTCGCGCGGTTTCACCCGCTGCTCGGCTCCATTTAATCGTAGCGTGATGTTTTATAGCCTATAGCACTCAGGAATATTGTAGCTATCTATCAGGGAAGGATTTTTTTTAATCCGACCAAAGGTTCCAAAGATTACCCCCTACATACAAACTTACAAATTTTACCTCTTTATAATATCAGTATAGAAAATGTCACCTAATCCTCTCCCCCACCCCGAACCTCCTAATCCTGGGTATTTAAATCCTTCACCGCCAAAAGTCTGACAAGGCAGTTGAAGCTCCTGTGAGAGTCATGCTTCGGCACAAATGTGTCAGCTCGACCGGAGTTATACCACAGAAAACCGGCGTGAAACCACCACAGCGTTGTGTTTAGCCGTGTGCTAAGCCTTCCCCTCCCCAATCTCTAAATATCCAAAGGCATAATTCCCAAAAAGTCGGCAACGTACTCGTAACTCCTTTGTTGTTGCGGGTGTTCATGGGCGGCGCTGATTGCTTACCTTTGACGTAAAAAAACTCCTCTGGTATAGCGGTTCCACAACTAGTCTAAAGCTCAACTTTCAACTCTCAACATCCAATGTTTTTGTTGCACACTGTTAAATTAATGAAATCTTATTTAATCATCTACCTAACGAAGTTTTCTCTTCACTTCATTTCCTTTACACAAGTTAAAATAAATCTCAGTCTAGATCTAGACTCAACAACAGACGTGTGTTATCGCTCCGGCGATGCGGACTGACGTCACTTCTCAATCAGATCGCGTTGTAGTGAACGCGTCATCGGCGTATGCGCATGTTTCAATTATACGCAGAAAAACAACTCTGTAAATTATTTATTGTACTAACCACTGTTGTGAATGTAAAAGACGGATGAATGGACGCATTTGTGACATATTTAAGTGTGGGTAAGCTATGCCTCGGCACGACCGTATCACCGGAGCGATACAACGGTGTCACATACGCCAGGGTTGCGCGGTAAGCGCAATGAGGCACCGCGACCTCGGCTCAGAGCAGGAGAAGGAACAGGGCGGTTTTTAGTAAGTAACAGTCTGACACTACCTCCCGCCCGGCCCTGGGCGGGAGAAGTCATTTGATGATTTTCCCCTCACAAAAAAAAAACGGTGTCACACACCAGCGTGAAACTCCTGTCGAGCCGACCCATTTGTGCCGAAGCATGGCTCTCCCACACTTCGTGCTTTCTATTACAAAAAATAAACGTTATTGTAGAAAGCCCCAAATGTAATGAATTAAACATTACAACCCCGGTCAATAGTATTACCTTGCACTATGCCTTTTAAGCCAATTTCATTGATTTTCTACTATTCTACTATGGTTCGTGACTGACATCTTGCAGTTAGGTATGTAGTATGACGAAATAAAAATTTATTTCCGCCATTTGATCAACCAGCTTTCTCTTACATAGTCTCAGCAAAAATGAACTCTATTCCTTAAACAACAAGGACTCTAAATTATATTTTATTTATAATCAAACTGGCTTCTTGCCAATGCACGGTGATTTGATTTTAATAAAGTCTTCGTAAAGTTTATTATGGCTTTCGATATTTTTGAAAAGTTGTTGCATAGTTTTTTGGCTTTTTGCAAGCTTTGACATCATAGTGTCATCATTGAGTAAGCCAATGATTAATAATGGTTTTCGAAATTGTCTGAAGAATCACTGAGTTTGAAATTATTTTCGGTTGGTTAGGTAATCCAAGGCAATTGGGCCAATTTTTGTGTATAAAATCACCTATTCCTATTTTCATAATTCTTACAATAATTTTATTTTGTGACTTATTCATTCATTATCAACCTATAAGTGCCCACTGCTTAGCAAAGACCTCTTCTCACACGGAGAAGGTTTGAGCCTTAATCACCACGGTTGTTCAAGGTGGATTGGCGATTTTAATCGTATAATTAGAAGTGCAGATTTCCTCACGATGTTTTTCCTTCACTGATGTCTAAATAAACTTAGAAAGTAGGTACATATAACTCTGAAAAAGTCACATTGGTATTCGGTACTTACCAGGTTACGAACCCGCATGTATGAGAAGCGTACACCTTAATATCAGGGTCATCACGAACTTTTACTAGTTGTGACTGCATCGAACTAAATCAATATCGATCTTATTTCTTATATGTGTCATTGAGTGAAACCCTGCCTTACAGACGTTGTTTAATTTCACATTACTATGGAAGAAAATATTAAACATAAATTATGTTTTGTTTCAGATATGGGGCGATTTACAAGAAGGCATCGAACAAGTTTACAAACGGCAACATATGGAAAAGAAAAGATATATGGATTTGTATACGTATCCTTTTAAAACAAAAGTAGGAAAAAATAATTATTCTGGGTATTATGAGAACTTTAGAAAATTCTCGGTAGACATCTGGTCTGTTTCGCGGACCTTAGGTGGCGCTAGTGTAGTGTGTAAGCAATCAACGCCGCCCATGGACACCCGCAATAACGAAAGAGTTACAAGTGCTTTGCCGACCTTTTAGGTATTAGTGTTTTGGGGATTTAGGGATTGGGGGAGAGAAAGGATTAGGCCTCCAGAACCTCACTCACACGGCGAAACGCAACGCTGAGGTTGCTTCCAGTCGAGCCGGCTCATTCGTGCGGAAGCATGGCTCTCCCACACTTAAAACCAGACACACTTATTGCCCGAAATGCGAAAAAAATGCGAATGCTTTATTTCCTTCTAGTTAGAACTCAAAACTGCTTAAGTTTTACTTATAATTATGTTTGGCATGGCTCAATTCATAGTATAAACGACATTCAATTTAATAGGGATTACTGACCATCTGATGAAGTCATTTTTGCGCAGTTCGCATTGTTATAACGGTCGAGTATTTATTAAATGCACGCTACTGCAATTTTAATTTCGTCCTTTGAAGACGACCATTAAAGATGTGTAATTATTTATTTACGTCATTTGTTTATGAAGGAACGTAAATAAATAAGATGCATAAGGGTACAGTCTAAAAATGGCTTCGTAGACAGCTTATAAAGTTTTTAATGAATTCGTAATGAAAATTTGTCCAAGAAGTATATTTTGCTTAAAACTCTATTGTTGTTTTTGCCAAGAATTTTCTCAAAAAACTCTTTAAGAAGAAATTATACTTGATTCAAAATGTGCCTAAGTTCAGTGGTTACTTTTTAAAGTCTGATGGAAAGCAACTAAATACATATAGCATGAGAAAGAAAGAGATTTAACATTGGCCTAGATGAAAACACGGCCTCACCGTATACCCCTCGTGAAACAACGCTTGCGTTATGATTTGCCGTGTGACTGAGGTTACCAGAGGCCCAATCCTGTTTTCCTGCATCCTCAATCCCCAACACCCACATCTTTAAATCCACACACCATGAAACGCCATCGGTGTTACGAATGTCCTTGGCCGGTTGGTTGCCATCAGAATTTGTGTGATTGCTTGCCGACTATGCCATTAGAAAGCTACCGTATCTATTAGACCATTCCTATATTTATAGCGCCAATGGTTTTGATAGTGTAGACGATAGCTATTTACCCACAAGGATTTAGCCTCCTTCATTATTTTAAGGTGGTTAAAGATTTACGCACTTAATCTGTAATCCGTCAACCGACTTACGTCTAGACAAGAGTCTACAGCGACTTAGGATCACGCTTTCACGGTTTCGGATCAGACAGAATCACTTACCATCAGGTGGTCCGTCTGGTCGTTTGCCTCCTATTCCATATAAAAAAAGGCAGGCGATATCGTCCTGGAAGGGTCATCATCATCAGAAAAAGTTAAAGGGCTCCAAAAATAATTTCTCCACACAATGACCTACCATTTCGAAGGAAAACGATACAAGTAAATTCAGTACTGCAATAATACATAAGGAAATAATTTATTAGGTAGAATACTTCCGTATGATTTTAGAGGTTAGTGGACGGTTAATTGTCAAGTGTCTTCCGTTGTTTATGTGATTACGTGGTGTTTTTGCCGTTATATTGTTGTCTATGGAGTCTGTGAACTATGGGTTTTTAAAAAATAACCACATCACAAAGTGTAGGTGAGCCATGCTTCAGCACGAATGGGTCGTCTCGACCGCAGTGATACCCCAATCCTTCCCCTCTCCCAATCCCAAAATCTCCAAATCCCTAATCCCCAAAAGCTCGGCATTGCACTTGTAACTCCTCCGTTGTTTCGTGTGTCCATAGGCGGGGCTGATTGCTTACCATCACGCAATCCGTGTACTAGTTTGCCATCCATCATAAAAAATATACGCAATCACGTCCCTACGCATGAATGTATGTTTACAAAACAATGTACTACGTGCTTGTATAATTATCAACTTATCACAAATTATCGTCAGTATAACACAAAACACATCTATTAACACCAAAAGTGGTTTATCAGGCAAAACTAAGTTCGATCACAGCAGCGAAAATAATCCTCTGACACAATTTGTTTGTGATAATTGTTTCTTCTTTCCTTTCATGGTACGAAACCCCTGTAACAGCTGGTTGTATGTTTACGTTAATTTAAAAGCTGGATAATCATCATCTAATGATATCTGTCGCCCTGGTTGAGGCAAAAGAGTGTCAGACTCTTATTGTCTGAAACCACCACTGTTCCTTCTCTTTGACCACGGTACATTGTTGAGCTTGCCCCAAAACCCAGCTGAAATTAAAAAACTGGTATAGGTCTTTTTGTACAACTTTTATAAGCGGAACCGGGTTAATTTTTTTTTTAAATGCGAAATTCTAATTTTCATATCATTTTAATTCAACCATAAATCCAATTTAATAATTCAATGATGTTTTAGTTTTTATAGCCTATAGCAATCAAGAAAATTGTAGCTATCTATCAGTATAAGAATTTTGGCAATCCGACCAGCGGTTCCAAAGATTACCTTCTACATAAAAACTTACAAATTTTACTTCTTTATAATATTAGTATAGAATACGACTTACTGATGTGAATTAAATATTAAATTAACTGAGAAAAACAAATCCAATATTTTCCTGACACCATAACACAACAGTCACGTATACAACTACTGCACATCAGTCCATCACCAGAGCGCTGCAAGCAGTGTCAGCGGGAGGGTTCCCAGTAACAATGGAGGCAGGAATACCTTCGGTGGAGGGGGTAAGAAACAGGTGGGTTACTTTTTTATAGCGATTTAATCTTCTAAGTTTAGCAGCCTTTTTGATTGAAAATACAACTATAACTTAACAGAATTCCCTTTTAAGAGGCACATTAAAACATCGTATCATCGTATACCCATAAAAATTATAATTTTTATGCGACTCCACAAAAATCTGGGGTCCAAACTAAACAAGTAAGGAGGTCTGTAGTCAGCACCAATTACGACCTATTGTTAATCTTTTAAAAAGACTAGGGTAATGAATACATTGGATTAACTGTAACTACATATATTTTGCATTTCTATTTCAGAGTGGTCACGTCCAGGGCGGAGCGCAGTTGGTCGGGCTCGAATTGTATAAGAGACTGAAGGAGTTTCTTAGGCTCTACCTCGTGAATTTGCTTCAGGTATGTTATGATATCCTGGTACCTTCCCCTGTGCAACATTTTAATGCACAGCGTTGTCCTCACTGAGGCAAACGTAGACTGAAGGAGTTTCTTAGGCTCTATCGCGTTCTGATCTCCTGGTACTTTGTGAATTGTGCCCCTATGCAACATTTTAATGCACAGCGTTGTCCTCACTGAGGCAAACGTAGACTGAAGGAGTTTCTTAGGCTCTATCGCGTTCTGATTGCCTGGTACTTTGTGAATTGTGCCCCTATGCAACATTTTAATGCACAGCGTTGTCCTCACTGAGGCAAACGTAGACTGAAGGAGTTTCTTAGGCTCTATCGCGTTCTGATTGCCTGGTACTTTGTGAATTGTGCCCCTATGCAACATTTTAATGCACAGCGTTGTCCTCACTGAGGCAAACGTAGACTGAAGGAGTTTCTTAGGCTCTATCGCGTTCTGATTGCCTGGTACTTTGTGAATTGTGCCCCTATGCAACATTTTATTGCACAGCGTTGTCCTCACTGAGGCAAACGTAGACTGAAGGAGTTTCTTAGGCTCTATCGCGTTCTGATTGCCTGGTACTTTGTGAATTGTGCCCCTATGCAACATTTTAATGCACAGCGTTGTCCTCACTGAGGCAAACGTAGACTGAAGGAGTTTCTTAGGCTCTATCGCGTTCTGATTGCCTGGTACTTTGTGAATTGTGCCCCTATGCAACATTTTAATGCACAGCGTTGTCCTCACTGAGGCAAACGTAGACTGAAGGAGTTTCTTAGGCTCTATCGCGTTCTGATCTCCTGGTACTTGCTCTATGCTACATTTTAGTGCATAGCGTTTTCCTCACTGGGGCAAAAGTTAGACTGAAGGAGTTTCTTAGGCTCTATCGCGTTCTGATTGCCTGGTACTTTGTGAATTGTGCCCCTATGCAACATTTTAATGCACAGCGTTGTCCTCACTGAGGCAAACGTAGACTGAAGGAGTTTCTTAGTGTCTATCGCGTTCTGATTGCCTGGTACTTTGTGAATTGTGCCCCTATGCAGCATTTTAATGCACAGCGTTGTCCTCACTGAGGCAAACGTAGACTGAAGGAGTTTCTTAGGCTCTGCCGCGTTCTGATTGCCTGGTACTTTGTGAATTGTGCCCCTATGCAGCATTTTAATGCACAGCGTTGTCCTCACTGAGGCAAACGTAGACTGAAGGAGTTTCTTAGGCTCTATCGCGTTCTGATTGCCTGGTACTTTGTGAATTGTGCCCCTATGCAGCATTTTAATGCATAGCGTTGTCCTCACTGAGGCAAACGTAGACTGAAGGAGTTTCTTAGGCTCTATCGCGTTCTGATTGCCTGGTACTTTGTGAATTGTGCCCCTATGCAACATTTTAATGCACAGCGTTGTCCTCACTGAGGCAAACGTAGACTGAAGGAGTTTCTTAGGCTCTATCGCGTTCTGATTGCCTGGTACTTTGTGAATTGTGCCCCTATGCAACATTTTAATGCACAGCGTTGTCCTCACTGAGGCAAACGTAGACTGAAGGAGTTTCTTAGGCTCTATCGCGTTCTGATTGCCTGGTACTTTGTGAATTGTGCCCCTATGCAACATTTTAATGCACAGCGTTGTCCTCACTGAGGCAAACGTAGACTGAAGGAGTTTCTTAGGCTCTATCGCGTTCTGATTGCCTGGTACTTTGTGAATTGTGCCCCTATGCAACATTTTAATGCACAGCGTTGTCCTCACTGAGGCAAACGTAGACTGAAGGAGTTTCTTAGGCTCTATCGCGTTCTGATTGCCTGGTACTTTGTGAATTGTGCCCCTATGCAACATTTTAATGCACAGCGTTGTCCTCACTGAGGCAAACGTAGACTGAAGGAGTTTCTTAGGCTCTATCGCGTTCTGATCTCCTGGTACTTTGTGCGCTATGAAACTTCTTAATTACAGCATTTTCTTCACTGAGGCAAAAGTAGACTGAGGAGTTTCTTAGGCTCGATCGCGTTCTGATTTCCTTGTACTTGGTGTCCTATGCTACATTTTAGTGCACAGCGTTGTCCTCACTAAGGCAAAAGTAGACTGAAGGAGTTTCTAAGGAAAGAAAGAAAGAAAGAATAAGTATTTATTCGCGTCTGGGACGCATAAAAGACACAAAACGAACAAGATAATAAAATAAAGTTAAAAATAAAAATACATTAAGCATGGTAAAAACAATATCACAAAAGTAGAGGGTAGGAGAAAAATTTGCGTCCAAGCACGCTAAATGGCCCACGCTCAGCATAATGCAGCGACCCCGTACGTGACGGGGTCGCGGCGCTGATTTTCAGCGATGGCCGACACTAACGCATGACGCCAATCTGTGCAGAAACTTAAGCTAAGAAAATAAGTATTTAACTTATTTTCCACTGAAATGTGTTTTTTATAATTGTTTGAATAGTATACTACTATAAAAAACAAACCACAAATGATTAAAAAATAGAGAATATTCTATTGCTTTTTTATCTCCTGGTACCTTGTAACTTCTTAATCACAGCGTTGTCCTCACTGAGGCAAAAGTAGACTGAGGAGTTTCTTAGGCTCTATCGCGTTGTGATCTCCTGGTACTTTGTGCCCTATGCAACTTCTTAATCACAGCGTTGTCCTCACTGAGGCAAAAGTAGACTGAAGGAGTTTCTTAGACTCTATTGCTTTCTGATCTCCTGGTACTTTGTGCCCTATGCTACAATTTAGTGTACAGCGTTGTCCTCACCGAGGCAAAAGTAGACAGAAGGAGTTTCTTAGACTCTATTGCTTTCTGATCTCCTGGTATTTTGTGCCCTATGCAACTTCTTAATCACAGCGTTGTCCTCATTGAGGCAAAAGTAGACTGAAGGAGTTTCTTAGGCTCTATCGCGTTCTGATCTCCTGGTACTTTGTGCCCTATGAAACTTCTTAATCACAGCGTTGTCCTTACTCAGGCAAACGTAGACTGGAGGAATTTCTTAGACTCTATCGCGTCCTGATCTCCTGGTACTTTGTGCCCTATAAAACTTCTTAATCACAGCGTTGTCCTCACTGAGGCAAAAGTAGACTGAACGAGTTTTCTTAGGCTCTATCGCGTTCTGATCGCCTGGTACTTTGTGCCCTATGCAACTTCTTAATTACAGCGTTGTTCTCACTGAGGCAAAAGTAGACTGAAGGAGTTTCTTAGACTCTATTGCTTTCTGATCTCCTGGTACTTTGTGCCCTATGAAACTTCTTAATCACAGCGTTGTCCTCACTGAGGCAAAAGTAGACTGAAGGAGTTTCTTAGACTCTATTGCTTTCTGATCTCCTGGTACTTTGTGCCCTATGAAACTTCTTAATCACAGCGTTGTCCTCACTGAGGCAAAAGTAGACTGAAAGAGTTTTCTTAGGCTCTATCGCGTTCTGATCTCCTGGTACTTTGTGCCCTATGAAACTTCTTAATCACAGCGTTGTCCTCACTGAGGCAAAAGTAGACTGAAAGAGTTTTCTTAGGCTCTATCGCGTTCTGATCTCCTGGTACTTTGTGCCCTATGAAACTTCTTAATCACAGCGTTGTTCTCACTGAGGCAAAAGTAGACTGAAAGAGTTTCTTAGACTCTATTGCTTTCTGATCTCCTGGTACTTTGTGCCCTATGAAACTTCTTAATCACAGCGTTGTCCTCACTGAGGCAAAAGTAGACTGAAGGAGTTTCTTAGACTCTATTGCTTTCTGATCTCCTGGTACTTTGTGCCCTATGAAACTTCTTAATCACAGCGTTGTCCTCACTGAGGCAAAAGTAGACTGAAAGAGTTTTCTTAGGCTCTATCGCGTTCTGATCTCCTGGTACTTTGTGCCCTATGAAACTTCTTAATCACAGCGTTGTCCTCACTGAGGCAAAAGTAGACTGAAAGAGTTTTCTTAGGCTCTATCGCGTTCTGATCTCCTGGTACTTTGTGCCCTATGAAACTTCTTAATCACAGCGTTGTTCTCACTGAGGCAAAAGTAGACTGAAAGAGTTTTCTTAGGCTCTATCGCGTTCTGATCTCCTGGTACTTTGTGCCCTATGAAACTTCTTAATCACAGCGTTGTCCTCACTGAGGCAAAAGTAGACTGAAAGAGTTTTCTTAGGCTCTATCGCGTTCTGATCTCCTGGTACTTTGTGCCCTATGAAACTTCTTAATCACAGCGTTGTCCTCACTGAGGCAAAAGTAGACTGAAAGAGTTTTCTTAGGCTCTATCGCGTTCTGATCTCCTGGTACTTTGTGCCCTATGAAACTTCTTAATCACAGCGTTGTCCTCACTGAGGCAAAAGTAGACTGAAAGAGTTTTCTTAGGCTCTATCGCGTTCTGATCTCCTGGTACTTTGTGCCCTATGAAACTTCTTAATCACAGCGTTGTCCTCACTGAGGCAAAAGTAGACTGAAAGAGTTTTCTTAGGCTCTATCGCGTTCTGATCTCCTGGTACTTTGTGCCCTATGAAACTTCTTAATCACAGCGTTGTTCTCATTGAGGCAAAAGTAGACTGAAAGAGTTTCTTAGACTCTATTGCTTTCTGATCTCCTGGTACTTTGTGCCCTATGAAACTTCTTAATCACAGCGTTGTCCTTACTCAGGCAAAAGTAGAGTGAAAGAGTTTCTTAGGCTAATATAGATCTTAAAAACACTAACGGATATTTTGATCTCTGTTACAGAATGGCGCAGAACTAATGGGCGAGGACGTGTTAGCGTTTTACACGAAACAGTGGGAAGAGTATCAGTTCTCTTCGCGTGTCTTGAACGGCGTCTGCGCATACCTCAACAGACATTGGGTTAAGCGTGAATGTGAAGAAGGACGGAAGGTGGTATGCTTATTTGTTTAAACATTTCATACTAGTACATTCTTCCAAAAACACATTTAGCAGGTCTCGGAAACGATTTCTTGTACTGTGAGTAATATAAACATCATTTTCGACCTTTTTGTTAACGGTTCTGTTGCTCTTATGGTTTTGATTTCGTATTCGCTTTTTTTCTATGGACGGCAGCTCATCTAGGTATACCATTATTACGTAATACAGCAGATCATAGCTGTTATGCGCATGTCTTGACCAATCACACACACTAATCTTGATCCAGGATCCTTATAAAGAATATGAAAATGAAGATGAATGTATTTCGCCAGTTACATAGCGAAAAAATACTACCTTCTTTTCTTGCCAAAGCGTAATTATATACCGCTATACCGCGTATCTGCTTGAAGTGGGACTTAAAACGGGATGGTTTTTAGTCAGAGTCTGACACTCCCTCTCACCTCCACCCAGGGCGGAAGGAGGAGATAAAACTAGTATAGCAAATAGCTTCACTAAGAGTACTGACCGACAGACTGACACTAAACACACAAAATTTTGGAGATACCGAAATTTTGTTTGACGTTCAAAAGTGCCTGTAAAGGTCTAATTGGAATAAATGATTTTTGACTTTGACTTTAAAACGTTTTAAAACTTTCTTTTACGTGACTTAGTCGTAATTTTTATTAAATTTAGTATGTCTCACGATATTTAGTATTCAATAAATTTTCCCTTTATTAAATGGTAAGTTTATACTGGTTGTTGTACAGCTTGATAATTGGGTAGTTTCCTAGGTCAAAAATAAATTATTTCGACGTTTCAATACAATAAAATATTGAAAAATAAATATACTCCTATTCATCGATCGATCAATACACTCATTTTTAGTTTTTTTTTTGCTAATTATTAAGAAATAAGTAAGCTATTTGACGCAAAAAAGTTATGACGTCATAGCTCAGTTTTTCATACAATTTTCATAGAAAAGTATCGTTTTTGATGTTTGGATAAAAGTATTGAATTGGCTAGTTGGAAACTACCGTATTGTGTTCTGGACACAGCTGGATACCTTAATGAGCTACCGTCTCTGAAGACAATGGCTTCTTACAATTTTCATTTTATTATTGTCAATTATTATTAATTAGTAATTACTCAATACTTTTTGTTATTTGCAATATTTGAATTATTTAAATTCTAAATTTAAAATTACACTATTTTATTTTGCATGCTTGCAACCTTCTTTTATAGTGGGGACACAAAAACTTAGTTGTTATATTTATATTTATTTTCAAATGTATTCCAGATTCTTAAATATAGGACAATGCTCAGACCGTTGTCTCCCAAATAGCTTAGTTTCAAAGAAAAATAAATATACTCTGACTTCTCAATTGAATTAAATATAAAAGAAAAATTTTATCAAATGATGTTGATTAATTAATTTAACGACATACTTCGTTTTTGTATTTTGATGCATAATATTTATTCAAGAAACAAGAGTAAAAAAACGCCTAAATTCACAATCCTGTATAATTAAACACGCCTAATAAATATACAATTCAAATTAAACTTTGTTAGTTTTGTATAATGATGATGACATGTTAAAATAACGGCTTATAGAACTTGTTGAGGATAAAGTACTAGTTCGCCTGTTTAAGTTAATAACACCTTTGTGACAGTCTATCAGTCTGTGAATGAAGCTAGGCGCTCGTCCAATATTTTTTCCACAAACACCGTCTAAAATTCTGAGCATTGTCCTAAGTCCGGCAGTAAGATATAATATTAATAAAATATGTTTTTAGGGTATATACGAAATCTATCAACTGGCGCTCGTCACTTGGCGTGACCATCTGTTTCAACGATTGAACAAGCAAGTAACCAACGCAGTGCTGAAATTGATCGAGCGGGAACGCAACGGCGAGACGATTAACACAAGACTAGTCTCAGGCGTATGTACCTAATTACTTTTTTTTAAATTAAAGTTTAATTCGCATTCGCAAGGAAATCTAAATCAATATACAATTACTAACGACGCAAGTATTCGTGGTTGCTCGATTAATTTCGAGTCATAACTGGGGCTCATACTCATGAATATGAGATTATCAACTTGTCAATTCGCCTTACTAAATTTGTTTCCACACCGGGTCGCGGGTTCGATTCACGCGCGTGTGTGATCCACAAATTGTAGTTCCGGGTCTGGTTTTAATGTGTATGCAAAATTGTATGTTTGTAAACGCATCCACGACTCAGGAAAAATCCTTATGTTGGAAGGTTAAAAGAAATACTAATTCAAGAAAACTATGACAAAAATATTTTTTTGTGAAAATCTAAATGAATACAAAATCACTAATATGCTACACGAAATTTTCTCGTTCGAGAGCGGTCGACTAATTTCGAGTCATTACTGGGGCTCATACTTATGAATATGCGACCAACTCGTTAATTCGTCTAGTTAAATTAGTTTCCACACTGAGTACTGAGCTCGATTCCTCCATGAAATTAATTCTTTGTGTGATCCAAAACTTGTTATTTTTGATCTGGGTCTTATTTGTATGTTTGTAAACGCTATCACGACATAAGTTTAAAAAAATACTTTTTAATAATAGTATCCAATGTTTTAACTTCCTAATTACAATTTAAACCAATATACAGGGTATAAAAAAAATAGGCTTTGCCATATCTAACAGTGACATAATTATCAAACATTAATGACATTCTTATGACCAATTTAATTCAATTTTAACCTTCATTACAATATTATTTATATGTGACATGGCAATCTTAATTCTTAATTAATTCTTAATCTTTATTTTAATAATATTTACAAAATCAATACAGCAACTTTAATCCTATAAATAATATTGACATTTTATTAATTCGTATTATACAGAAATATTTGTACGCCATAGTATGGCAGGATATGCTGGAATCAAAACTGTAACATCTATTGTACCATATTCTGACAAATAAACATTTTTGATTTTGATTTGATTTTAAAAAAGACACTTAACGAAGCCGTTAACTACGCATACTGCAGTTTTAACTAAGTAGCTTTACGCTAAAACTATCACTGGGAAACGACTTTTATTTTTAGGTATCAAAAATAATAATAATTTTATTGCGCGCAATGTAAAGCAAACGGGCTTCGTGTCATTGTGTGCGTAGGTTCACAGCTTAGCATTAAAACGCTGTGATAAGTACGTAGGTCGACGTTTTACTTCGCAACAACAAAACAATTCTGTAAAATAAAAATCCTACTGAGTTGCACGATGTTTTTTGTGCGGGTCTGCATTTATTTTTTACGTACATTACTGTTCGTAACTTCAAATGCGTAATTTATTTAGAAAAATCGAAAATTCAGGTAATGTGTGTTTGGAAAAAAGTTTTTTAATAATACTAAGAATTCGATTGCGCAAAAAAATAAAAACTAAAAATGCATCTTTGACCTTCAATATCTCGAGAACCCGTGGAGTCCCAGCTATGGTCTTAAAGAAAAAAAAAATGATCCTAATAATGGGTAGAATACGTGGGTTTCGGCTTCGTTAAGTGTCTTTTTACAGCCTGTATTATCTTTCTTTCTTTCAAAATAATCCTATGCAGCTATATTTTCATTTAGGTAATCAACTGTTACGTGGCATTGGGTCTAAATGAAGATGAAACCGCGGCTCGGGGCCAGAACCTGCTGGTCTACAAGGATACCTTCGAGGCTGTCTTCCTAGAGGACACTGAACGCTTCTACACCAGGGAAAGTACTGATTTCCTGAGAAATAATCCCGTCACAGAATATATGATCAAGGTAAGTAAAGTGTGGAATGATAGTATTTTATTTGTATTATTTTTATTAAGTAACTACAATACCGCCATCGTATCTTGGCGAGTCTGAAGTTAGCCGATTAGCTGCGCAGTACACAATTTTGTTCCTAAAAGATCCATTGCGCAGACAAACGGCTAACTTCAGACTCGCAAAGATACGTCGGGCGTACTGTACCTACTTTCACCCGCTGCTCAGCTCAGCTATATATCGTAGCGTGATGTTTTATAGCCTACTAGCTTTTGCCCGCGACGCCGTTCGCGTGGAATTGTGACTTCCTGTACATTTTTGGTATAAAAACTATCCTATGTACTTTCTCGAGTTCCAAACTATGTCTGTATGTACCAAATTTCACATAAATCGGTTCTGACGTTCAGGCTTGAAGAAAAGACAGACAGCAGACTTACTTTAGCATTTACTTATAATATTAGTTTGGATAGCCTTCTTCGATAAATGGACTAAAAGAATTGTTGAATTCCAACCATTAGTTCCGAAGACTAGCGCGTTCAAACAAACAAACTCTTCAGCTTTATAATATGAGTATAGTAGGGCTAGCAGTTGGCCACTACACTATCTTCTATATATACGCCTGGTGGTAGGCAATGATGCGCCTTGCGAAGGAGCACGCCTACCCATAAGCAACCTATTCACTGGATCCTTGAAGATATCAAGGGTATATCCTTCGGGGAAACTTATAATAAAGTTAAAAATGTGGCTTGTTTGTACGCATTCATCTCAGAAAGTACTGGTTAGAATTGTGTTGTACTCTTTAAGTTGGATAGTTGGTTAGCCTACTATGATGGTGGCTCTAGGCTATAAAACATCACACTACGGCCAGTCAGAGCTGAACACGGGCAAAAGCGTGCGTGTTTTACTATTTTGTGCTTTATATTCACTTAACTTAATTTCAACTTACTGTTGAAAATAATGTATATAGCAAATTATTATAAATTGAATATATAAGTTATTTATATAAAATATAACTAGCTGACCCAGCCACACGTTGCTGTGGCTAAAGTAAATAATATTATGACTATAAATCGAGATGTAAGCTATCCTATCTTTCAAATTGGATGAAAATGCACACGGAATGCAAATCAAATTAAAAATCGGTTTAGTAGTTTAGGAGTCCATCGCAGACAAATATGTGACACGAAATTTTTATATATAAAGATAAAATATTTCAAAATTTAAATATTAAATTTATAATTTAATATATCTCACTAGTGACTATACAAAAACATTTAAGAATATTTCCGAAAGTTCTGTTAATATTGCAAATTGTTTTATATTCATTTTAATCATCCTCTTTCCAGGCGGAACAACGTTTGCAAGAGGAACAGCGACGCGTGCAAGTGTACCTGCATGAGACCACGATGGAAAGACTTGCCAAGACCTGCGACAGGGTCCTCATTGAGAAGCACCTTGAGATATTCCATGCTGAGTTTCAGGTAAATATTATTACCATGCTTCGGCACGAATGGGTCGGCTCAACCGGAGTGGTACCACGGCCTCACAGAAAACCGGCGTGAAACATCCAAAGCGTTGTGTTTTGCCGTGTGAGTGACGTTACCGGAGCCCCAATCATTCCCCTGCCCCAATCCCTTAGTCTCCAAAACCCTAATCCCTAAAAGGTCGGCAACGCACTCGTAACTCCTCTGTTGCCATGGGCGGCGCTGATTGCTTACCATCAGGTAATCCGTCTGCTCGTTTGCCGATCTATTACAAAAAAAAACATACCATCATTGTCAGCTAGTTTCACTACACAGTATAAAATAAAGTCGCTTTCTCTGTCCCTATATCCCTATGTATGCTTAAATCTTTGAAACTAACTACAGAACGCATTTTGGTGCTGTTTTTTTAATGATAGAGTGTTTATAGAGGATGAGATGAAGTGGAGAGATTTAGTATCTGCATTACACCCGTGCGAAGCCGGGGTGGGTCGCTAATGAAAAGTAATTCAGTCCATTGAAAAGTGAGATATGTTTCGGTACAAATGGGTTTGCTCGACCTTAGTGACATCACAGCCTCACAGAATACTGGCATAAAACAACCATAACGTTGCAGTGCGTTGTGTCAGTGAGGTTACTAGAGCCAATCTTACACTCAACCTAAATCTTCAAAACCCCTAACAACTTAGAAAATACCCGCAACGCACTTGTAACTCCTTTGGTTTTGCGTATATCCATCAGAATTAACTTAAAATCGCGGGTTACTCACGTGTATATACGCGGCGGTCATTAGGCTGCGCGACGTCGCCGCGTCCGCGCACGCTGCTCATGAGGAAGAACCCCTCTGTGGTTCGAAACTAGTAGAGCTTTTCTCAATATATACACGTGATTAACCCGCGATTTTTAGTTAATTTAGTATGTCTCACGATAGTTATTATAAAAATATATCCATCAGGTAACCCGTCCGCTTTTTTGGCGACATAATACCTCATTAAAAAACCATCTAAGTTGAACCCACACAGATTTTTTGCTTCTAATTATTCTTAATATTATGTCATTAAAATACGTAATTAAGTTTTGATATCTATCTTCCTCAGAAACTGCTAGACGGTGAGAAGAACGGCGACTTAGGCCGTATGTACGGTCTAGTGGCGCGCATTCCGGACGGTCTATGCGAGCTAAGGCGGTTACTGGAACACCATATACACGCGCAGGGACTGCAGGCGATAGACAAGTGCGGGGATGCCGCGCATTCTGTGAGTATTTACATATTTTTCAGAAAATATGTATGTTTTAGTGGATTCTCATGCAATATGGGTGCGGTTTAGAAACCTTATAAGTACCAATGTAACTTTGCCGAGTTATATGTACCATATAATTATGATTATTCATCCAACCCCCACGTATGGTGAAGAACAGCCGTAGTTGCGGGGTAAGCTCAATGAGGCACCGCGACCTCGGCCCAGAACAGGAGAAGGAACAGGGGGTTTTTAGTCAGTAAGAGTCTGACACTCCCTCCCGCCCGAGATAAGTCATTTGATGATTTCCCCTAACTAAAAAAAAAAAACGTATGGTGAAAAAAAAACGTGGGGAAACCGGAAAACGCCAATCCGTCTTGTGCAAGCGCGGTGATTAATGCTCAAACCTTCTCCGTGTGAGAAGATACCTTTGCTCAGCAGTCAGTACTACCCACGGCACAGGAGAAAATCTTAGTGTGAGAGGGACCGGAGACCTAACTACAATATTATAATATTTTCAGGACCCGAAAGTGTACGTGTCGACAATCCTGGAAGTGCACAAGAAGTACAACGCGTTGGTTTTGGTGGCCTTCAACAATGACTCCGGCTTCGTGGCCGCTCTAGACAAAGCTTGTGGACGGTTTATTAACAGTATGTACCTTTAATTATTTTATTACTTAATACCCATGGAGTTTTTACGACATATAATTACTCGGGTATTTACCGAAAAATAATTGTTTAAATACCTTGGTAGGTTTGACGTTTCGACCTGGTAACACAGGTCGTGGTCGCAAGCAGACGGATTTTTTTATGTGGTATGTCGGCAAACGGATTTCCTGAGGTAAGCAATCAGCACCGCCCATGGACACCCTCAACGTCGGAGGAGTAACGAGTGCGTTGCCGAACTTTGAGTATTTGAGGGTTGGAGATTTTAGGAATTAGGAGGGATCGAGGAAGGGGAAGGATTAGGCCTCCGGTAACCTCACCCACACGTCGAAACAAGTGGTTGTTTCACGCCGGTTTTCTGTGAGGCCGTGGTATCACTCCGGTCGAGCCGACCCAATCGTGCCGAAGCATGGCTCCCCCACACTTAACATATCTCCCTGCATTCGGGCGATAATTTTCATCTACCCCTTTATGCCACCTTTAACATTTTTTTTACGAACGAAATAAAGGTTAATGGATATTTTCAATAATTCATATTGAAAATATGAATATTGATATATATAAAATATAGAATATTGATATAAGCTCTGTATAGTATTTAGTATCTGTATTCTTGAGAAGAGGTATTTATAGACTGCACGGTTAGTACGGTGGCTGGGCTGGCTGCCGTGCAACATGTCGCGGGTTCGGTTCTCGCACGCAACAACTCTTTATGTGATCCACAAATAGTTGTTCCGGGTCTGGGTGTCATGTGTCAGGTGTTTGTAACCGCACCCACGACACAGGAGAAAATACTATAGTGAGGCAATGTTTAAAAAAATAACATAAAAAATTGCTTACAGAGGACATATTTTAAAACGGACTTATATACTGTGTATCTTATAGCGTTGACGAAATTACTTATATTTTGTAAAAAAATATATCAATCTTTGATTTACAAAATATTAGATATTTTATGAAGAGAAGGTACATCTGAAAACACTAATGTTCACAGGTAACGCGGTAACCAAAGCGGCGAATTCGTCATCGAAGAGTCCAGAACTGCTCGCTAAATATTGTGATCTTTTACTGAAGAAATCCAGCAAGAATCCCGAAGAGGCTGAACTAGAAGACACGCTTAACCAAGTGGTCAGTTAAATCTAATAAATATCCTATGTCCTCCTCCACGTAGAACCGCTTACCTTTTTTTAGCCCGTTGATCGTACAACAATAACCCGATCATAAGAATGTGCAGGGAATATAACTCCATATGCTCTCAAACTGATATATGCTACACAAGTTTTAATGTCTTTAAGTATTTTCTGTGCCGGCACAATTAGAAAACGTAATTTGTATTAGTAACTCTCTATGCAATGAAGCAAATTTAAACTGGTCTGTAACTGGGTGGTTTATAACTGGACTGCAGATTTATAATTTGTGTGTAGTGTAGTATTCAACTTTGTAATTTTAGGTATACTGTCTGTTACTGTACCCATTGAATAAAAATAAAATAAGCAATCGGCGCCGCCAATGTCCACCTGCAACATGGAATTTGGGGATGGGAGCACTTCGCCTAGACGTAACCTCACTCGCACGGTGAAACGCCGTGTTGTTTCACGCCTGGCCCCTGTGAGACAGTTGTATGACTCCGGTCGACGCCTTCGTGTCAACGCATGGTTGTAACACTTTTAGCCTCCTAATTTACTGTTGATAGTAATTTTATAGGATAGATAAAAATGTGAGACTAATACCCGGTTTCCGAAAGGCCGATCAATGTTAAAATCAATTTAATCTCTTGTCAAGTCATCTGATTGGTTGACTGAATTATCAACAACCAATCAGATGACTTGACAAGAGATTTAACAGGAGATTAGTTAATTTTAGCGTTGACAAGCCTTTCAGAAACCGGGTGTTAATAATGATTCTATTAATGTTATTAACGCGAAAATTTATAAATATCGATGGGTTTTGTGATTCTTTCAAGTAAAAACTACTTAACGTATCTAAATGAAATTTGGCACAGAGATAGATTATACTCCTTAATTACACATAGGCAATACTTTATATCCCGGTAGGTAGCTACATATTATTTTATATATACTACTATTATAAAGAGGTAAAATTTGTAAGTTTGTGTGTAGGGAGTAATCTTTGGGGAGAATCACTGGTTGGATTCCCAAAATTCTTTCACTGATAGATAGCTACAATGTTTCCAAGTGCTATAGGCTATAAAACATAACGCTTCAATCAAATAGAGCCAGGCAGCGAGTGAAACCGCGCGGGAGTAGCTAGTGTACAAATAAATTTGACTGCACACTTAACCAGGTGGCTAGGCAACGTGTTCGCGGATATCTCGCACTGCACGACTTTCTGTGTGTTCCACATTTTATTGTTCCGGGTCTCGGGAAGAAAATCTGAGTGTGACAAAGTTAAAATAATGTATGTAACGATTTACTGTTGTGTTTTACAGATGGTCGTATTTAAATACATCGAAGACAAGGACGTCTTCCAGAAATTCTACAGTAAGATGCTGGCCAAGCGACTCGTGCAACACATGTCCGCCAGTGACGACGCTGAGGTATGTATTGTGTAAACACATACATAAATACATATTTATCTATACTTATCTATACTTATATTATAAAGAGGTAAAATTTGTAAGTTTGTATGTAGGGGGTGGGTGATTCTTCACATCAATTAAAAAAAATTTAATAATGTCATTATCCTCAACCGAAAATTAACGAGTCTGCTGATTAAAACACAGATAATTATTTTATTAAATTAAATCTCACCACTGCTTACAAGTAACCGATTAAAAATATTGTATAAAATAAATTACTAAGATGCTTAAAAACCTGGGAGGATAATGACTTGTTAAATAAAAGTTAAGGTTTTTTGGAGAATCACCCGGGTAATCTTTGGAACCGCTGGTCGGATTGCCAAAATTCTTTCCTTAGTGCTATAGGCTATAAAAAAAACATCATGCTACATTAAATGGAGCCGAGCAGCAAGTGAAACCGCGCGAGAGTAGCTAGTACGCACATAAAGAACAGACACTGAAATGTCAATTTATTTCAAAATTCGACACACTACAAACAAAAGCGCGCGCTCGTGTGTGTGTGTCACATATCCACTCATTGGTGTATCGCATTGGTGATCCCTATATTAATTTATGGATGCAAGGTACAAAATGACCGGTTACTTATGCGTTGTATCGAATAAAACGGAAAAAAAAATAAAAAAAAAATTGAATTTAGCCTGCATTGCCTACCTAGTCTCAGTAGGCTGCGCGACGTCGCCGCGTCCGCGCACGCTGCTCATGAGGAAGAACCTCTCTGTGGTTCGAAACTAGTAGAGCTTTTCTCAACATTTACACGTGAGTAACCCGCGAATTTTAGTTAAATTATTTTTATTATGTTCACAGGCGTCCATGATCTCAAAATTAAAGCAGGCGTGCGGTTTCGAATATACAAGCAAACTACAAAGGATGTTCCAGGTTTGTTTATTTTATTATGATTTTATATTTTAATATTGTTACGTGCCTGACGTCACGTTCCTGACTATGCGGGCTTGGGTTACGGGATTGGATGAAATTAAACACTAATACCGGTTTTCAGACTTTCTATTGCACTTAAATGACAGCGTCCACGGAGTTAAGTTTTCGGCGTTCCTCTCCAGCAGAGTCCGGGCGACTGACACAAGCTTCCGTTTGCCGCTCACTGTTCACGCTGACTTTCACTTAACTTACTGCACTTCTCTATTTCACTCACTTTTCTTCTTTTTCACTTCTTCCTTTTCTTCCGAATCGCTTTGGACTTAGAACTCAACTGCCTGCGGTGAGCCGCAGTTCCGCTTATATACCCCCGGTTAGGTTCCGGAACATTCAATTTCGTTATTCTTTTTGATCGTCATGACTCCAGATCCTTCCAATAATTTCGTTATTCATTTTTATTTATTCTCCTTCTCGCTCTTTAATTTTTCATTTCTTTGACACAAAAGCTTCCATAAAGTTCCACAAAAACTTCCATCAACTAAAATACTTCATGCTTACGGCGGGACTCGAACTCAGGGTCTCTCTGGTGTAATCCACACGCCTTACCGATTACACCAACTCGTATTGACAATTCACGACGAAATTTACAATCTCTAGGCAACGTTTGACAACCATCCATTGACGTCATGATGTCAAAGAGTTTGAACCACTTTTCCGTCACAATATCATAAAGCTGGACGCTACACGGTTGGTGCAGTGACTGGGTAACTGGCAGCAATGCAAGCGTGTTGCGTATTCGTTCTCGGAACGAAACAACAGTTTTTGTCATCCAAAAATTGTTGTTTGGCGTCTGGGTGGTTTGTGTATGAGATTTTTTATGTTTTTAACGCACCCACGACACATGACAAAATCCTAGTGTGGGGCAACCTTTTATCTCGAAGTCAAATAAAAGTTTAAATTTTCTGAAAACCGTTTACTTGCCTATTTTATTATAATAATAAACCTAAAACTATTTGACTTTTACACTGGGTTATTAGTCGAATCTTAGGATATGTTCAAGCATCTCAACTTACTAATTATATTACTTTCTCCCCTTCCCAGGACATAGGCGTCTCGAAGGACTTGAACGAGAACTTCCGCAAGCACATGTCGAACAGCTGCGAACAGCCGCTACACATCGACTTCAGCATCCAGGTCCTGTCCTCCGGCTCCTGGCCATTCCAACAGTCTTCCTGCTTCCAGCTGCCCACTGAAGTAAGTCGCTGATATCTAGAAATTATTAACATGTTTTTAAAGACAGGTTGAACATTTTCGAGCAGAAATTATAATCTTTACTTTTTTTATATATTATTAAGCTGAAGAGTTTGTTTGAACGCGCTAATCTCAGGAACTAAATGGTTCGAATTGAAAAATTGCCTTTGTGTTTGTTAGACCATTTATCGAGGAAAGGTTTAGGCTATATAAGATCACAATATAATCTATAGGAACAGAACAGCGGGTGAAACCGCGTGAGATAATCTAGTAATTTATATGGCTGAAAGACCTCTTCTGCGTCACTTATACCCGGTTTCTGAAAGGCTTGTCAACGCTAAAATTTACTAATCTCCTGTCAAGTCATGTGATTGGTTGTTGATAATTCAGTCAACCAATCAGATGACTTGACAAGAGATTAAATTGATTTTAACATTGATCGGCCTTTCGGAAACCGGATGTTAGTAACATATGATTTTGTTTTTTCAGTTGGAGCGGTCAGTGCACAGGTTTACGACGTTCTACTCATCGCAGCATTCAGGACGCAAACTGAACTGGCTGTACAACATGAGCAAGGGAGAACTTGTCACTAACTGCTTTAAGAACAGGTCAGTATTTGAACTTTTTTGCTGTTTGATTCTGACCATCATCAGTCGGAAGACGTCTACTGCTGAACAATAGCCTATAGAAACTTAGAAGGGGGGCCCCTTCTAGTTTCTCCGGCCACCGTAGCGCGGGTCTGCGGACGGCGAGTAAGGGTAGCTTGCCGCCCGACCAGAACCAGACTCGAGCGTACGGCGCGTAGCGTTCCGCGCGCGCCTCGAAGAGCCAATAGTCCACCACAGACGGGGCCCTATAGAGCTGATGTTCAGCCGGGGTTGCGGGGTAAGCGCAATGAGGCACCGCGACCTCGGCCTAGAGTATGAGTAGGAACAGGGGGGGGGTTTTAGTCAGTAAGAGTCTGACACTCCCTCCCGCCCGACTCTGGGCGGGAGAAGTCATTTGATGATTTTCCCCTCACAAAAAAAGCCCCCCTTGACCTCTGACGATGTTGTCCCTCTACCTAGTGGGTAGGCCTGCCTACGCTACGTTTTCCGGTCCGTAGTCGCCACTAGAGTACTTTTTATGTGCTAGGTTGGTAAACGAGCAGACGGATTATCTGATGGTAAGCAATCAACGCCGCCCATGGACACCCGCAATAACAGAGGAGTTACGAGTGCGTTGCCGACCCTTTGGGATTTTGAGGTTTAGGGATTGGGGGAGGGAAAGTATTGGTCCGGTAACCTCACTCACACGGCGAAACAATGCTATGGCTGATTCGCACCGGTTTTTCTGTGAGGCCATGATATCACTCCGGTCGAGCCGAACCATTCGGGCCGAAGCATGGCTCTCTTACCCTTTCAAAATGTTGACTAATAGACCAAACTTATTTGACAGATACACACTGCAGGCGAGTACGTTCCAGATGGCGGTACTACTGCAGTACAACGACAACACTGCCTGGACCGTCAGCCAGCTAGAACAACATACTGGGATCAAGGGGGACTTCCTCATACAGGTATAAGATTGTTTTTTATATGATAGTAAGCAATCTACGTCGTACTACATACTACGTTGGTCAACGGCCCAGAGGCTAAGCCTGCTTCTCATGCTTGAGGGGCCTATGTGTCCTTTCCCGAGTTATATGTACTTTATATGATTATCTATACTAATATTAGAAAGAGGTAAAATTTGTAAGTTTGTATGTTTGTATGTAGGGGGTAATCTTTAGAACCGCTGGTCGGATTGCCAAAATTCTTTCTGATGTGATGTGATAGTCTCCATAATTTCGGACCGATTTGATTATGGAACCCTATACCCAAAACTAAACTGTTCTAAAGTTAATTGAAGATTTTATATGAATAATCCAGATTTTTCACCGAGTTGTTTCTATTTTTAAGTTTCAAAAGTACCTGTATATAGTTAAATGTTTCTCACTTTGACTTTAAGTGCTCGTGTTAATTTCATAGGCCATGACTGGTAACATAACACGAGAAGAAGTAGAGAAGAAGAAAGGCTAACCCCTGGTTTCCGAAAGGCTGATCAATGTAAAAATCAATTTAATCTCTTGTCAAGTCATCTGATTGGTTGACTGAATTATCAATAACCAATCAGATGACTTGATAAGAGATTTAACAGGAGATTAGTTAATTTTAGCGTTGACAAGCCTTTCAGAAACCGGCTGTAAGAATTTTAGACTGAGGATGTTGACTACGTCTACAATACCGCCAACGTATCTTGGCGAGTCTCAAGCCGGATTGGCGATTTCAAACTTACATTAATTAGAAATTATAAGTCAAATATTGTAGCTATCTATCAGTAAAAGAATTTTGGCATTCCAACCAGCGGTTCCAAAGATTACCCCCTACATACAAACTTACAAATTTTTACATCTTTATAATATTAGTATAGATTAAATTAATTAAATTCACGTAAAATTATCCTCAATCTACCTCTGATCAAAACCTCTTCATACATTATTAAAGTACCTATTAAAATGTTAATATTATAACTTTATATTTTCAGGTGCTTCAAATTCTCTTGAAAGCGAAACTGCTGATCTGCCAGGACGATGAGTCTGAACTCTCTGAATCTTCCGTCGTCGAGCTCTTTGTAGGATATAAGAAGTTAGTAAAGGATTGATCACTATTTGTTTGCTTTTGGGATTTTTAATTTTTTGAAAAAAATGGGATTAATCTGGAAATTTTTCTAATCCATCCATAAACAACGGAGTTCTGAGGTAACAAACATAAAAAAATACAATCGAATTGAGAACCTCCTCCTTTTTTGAAGTCGGTTAATAAATGAATTCAAGAGACATACTAAATTAACTAAACATCGCGGGTTACTCACGTGTGTAATTGACAAAAGCTCTGCTAGTCGCTAGCTGCGCGGACGCGGCGACGTCGCGCAGCCTACGCGCACGCTGCTCATGAGAAAGAACCCTTCTGTGGTTCGAAACTAGTAGAGCTTTTTCTCAATTACACGCGTTCCTTGTTCCTTCTTCTGCTCTGAGCCGAGGTCGCGGTGCCTCATTGCGCTTACCCCGCAACCCCGGCAGATAAATGTTATCTAAGGAATAAAATTGTTGCTGTCACTGTCTTATACGCGACAGCATCATAATTATTCCCCAGATAACTTTTATCTAACCATTGAAAAATCAGCCCCTACTCTCTCCCATTATAAGTCTCATAGAAAAGTACAACAATGTTATCAATAATTATTGCTTTTGTCTTACAGCAAAAAACTCCGCGTAAACATAAACATCCCGCTGAAGACAGAGCTGAAGGTGGAACAGGAGGCCACGCACAAACACATCGAAGAGGACAGAAAGATGCTTATACAGGTAATTTCAAGACAATCAACAAAAAAGTGTGGGAGGGCCAAGCTTCGGCACGAATGGGTCGGCTCGACCGGAGTGATACCACAGCCTCACAAATTACCGGCGTGAAACAACCACAGTGTTGTGTTTCGCTGTGTGAGTAGGTTACCAGAGGCCCAATTCCTCCCATTTCCTAAAAGGCCGGCAACGCACTCGTAACTCCTTTGGTGTTGCGGGTGTCCATGGGCTGCGCTGATTGCTTACCATCGGGTAATCCGGACGTTGCCGGCCATTGGACTTGGTGACTGGTACATGAAGTCACGTGTAGTATACAACATCGGTATTTTATAAATAAAACTATACTCGGACTTTTAATTCCATTCCAGATTTGACAATTTCAGTGTTGCAACGTTATGACACGTATTAAATAGTGACGTTGCGAAATTATTCGATGTGGAAATCGAATATTTCTGAATCGATTCCTCTCGTTTATAAATTTAATCTCGTAAAATAAGTTTATCAGGAAATAAAATATTTCTGATCCGATAATTTAGTTTTGACAATTAATTAACGATCTGAGACTTTTCTTTTGTAATTGTGTGTGAAATAAATAAAAAATGTGATCATGAAGGAACATGACAAATAAAACAGAAATTTTATAAATTGTCACCGTCATCGCTATCGCTATCGCTGTTACTTTCTGTAACATTTATTATAAATTGTGTCTGTGATTTTTATTGTCAATTCACATATCTAGCTTACTCATTTTTTCCCCTATTTTGACAACATGGGATACGCATTTAGACCATTTGGTAGCCGTAATTTTTTGAATGCCTTCCTGAAAATGATTCACTGATTGTTTATCGATTTTTGTGTTCATCACTACAGTGTTATATGTGGTATCATTATTTCACAAAATGACAATAGATCATGTCAAATAAGGAATCGAATTAAAAGTCTGACTATAGAATATTAATTTTTATATAAAGATTTTATCACAATAACACGGACCTTGAGGTCCTTGTGAGTTAAAATTATGTAAAAAAAAAACAAATAGTGCTTATATTATGATACTAATTAATATTGTTCTTTCTACAGGCGGCCATAGTGAGGATAATGAAGACACGTAAAACGTTGAAACACCAGCACTTAGTGGTGGAAGTACTAAACCAGTTGTCCTCGCGCTTCAAGCCCAGAGTTCCAGTCATCAAGGTACACATTACTTGTAAAATGTTGCTTATTTTCAAACTCAAATTCTTTATTTACATGTTAAGGTCAAAGGCACAGTTAAACAACCTTTTTCAGGTGGTGAAAATTGAATATATTTATTGATCAAAAATAAATTAGTTCACTATGTCAATACGTTATTCATCGATCAGTCGATACACTATATTTTCGATATTTTTTAGCTAATTTTTAAGAACTTTAGTAAGCCATGTAACGCAAACATATTATGACGTCATAAACTTGAATAAGCCAGCTCCACTGGAGTAGATTTTTTTGATGTGCAATGCCCAATTTTGTTTTATTGTACTGTATAACTATTAAGTTCAATATTATTATTATATATTCAATAGTTGAATGTTGTGGTGGCCCAAAGAACACTCGCTTCTCATGCATGAGGGTCCGAAACCAATGTGATGTTTTCCGAGTTACATATACTTTCTAATATTATTTCGCTGACATAGGCGAAGGAAAATATCGTAAACCTAGACTTATGAAACTTATAATTAGAAATTATATCGACAATCCGCCTTGAGCAAGCGTAGTAATTAATACTCATAGCTCCATATGAAAGGAAGCCTTAGCTCAGCAGTAAAAATAACACATTTTAAATATGTTTCAGAAATGCATCGACATTCTTATCGAGAAAGAGTACCTAGAACGCACAGAAGGAGAGAAGGACACATATAGCTACCTAGCATGATTGCGCCGCGATATATGTAATAAATGATATATAAACAATATTATGTAATCTCTATGACTTTAATTTTTTATACCCTTTTCGTAAAGTGTGGGAGAGTCAGAAAACCGGCGTGTAACAACTACAGCGTTGTGTTTCGCAGTGTGAGTGAAGTTACCGAAGCCCAATCTTTCCCCTCCCCCAATCCCTAAATCTCCAAATCCCTAACCCTCAAAAGGTCGGCAACGCACTCGTAACTCCTCTATTGTTGTAGGTAATCCACCAGGTTATCTATCTGCTCGTTTGCCGACCTGTCATATATTTATATTTATTCATTCAATTTTATCTTACAAGCTATCAGATGATACTTCCAAAACGCTTATAAGATCAATAGTTCGGTACAACCTCCTCATTTTTGTTTATTTTTTTTCATTTAACAGATAATTATGTATTGATAATTGGAAAAAAAATACATTGCAGTCCCTTTTTTAGCATAAAATATTAAAATGTCATATTAGTTACAATAAAAAAAAAGAAAAAGAAAATAATACGCAATAGCAATACAACATTCAGCAATTACTTAGGTACATCTATTTAATGGACTTATTTAAAATCATTTGAAATTCATTAAGCAAACGTTAATCTAATCTAAATAAATCTATCATATAAAACAAGTCAGACTATATAAAGAACTAGCGACCCATCCAGGCTTCGCATGGATGGAATCACAAAGAATGCAATGCTGATGAATAAAGAAAATATCGATGTATTAATCACCCATGTTTGCAAAGAAATAAATGATTTATGATCCTAAAATTCTCCAGTATTTAAAATGTTATATGTCTATTAAAGAGGTAAAATTTAGTTGTTTGTACGTACACGAACCGCTGGTCGTATTTGCAAAATTACTGGTCGGGTTACCCCTGATACTACAATAGCTACAATGGTCCTGCTATAACTTTTACTTTATTTGCGTATTTTAGTCGAACTTTCGCTTTAAACTATGTTGCGGGCGAGACAGTTATACAGTTATATAAAGATTCCTCTTCATTCTATTTATAAAAAAAACGCATCAAAGTCCGTTGCGTAGTTTTAAAGATTTAATTGGTATAGGGATATAGGGGCAGAGAAAGCGAATTTGTTTTATACTAGGTAGTGATAAGCAAACCTAAGTGGCAGTGGGCTGGTCACATTTGTCGAGATCCAATCAACGTTTGGATACACGTGTTTTGGACGTGTAGTGGAGACCACGTAAGTACAAACGTAGTGTAGGTTGCCCTCCAGCAAGGTGGATTGACGATATTCGCAGAGTGGCTGGCAGCGGTTTGATGAGAAGAGCTGAAAATCGAACTCAGTGCTCAAACATAAAAATAAAAGATTGTATTTGTTAAATAAATGCGATAAATAATCGAAACAGTACAAAATCCAAAATGGAAAACAAAATTAAGTAGGTAGGTAGTTTTCCAAGAAAAACGTCAAGTTTTAATATCATCATAATTCGTGATTTCGCTGATTCACTTTGATTCATAATATTTCGGAATACTTATGTAGGTATTACCTACTCATACCTAATGACCACATAAATTGGAAACTTTTAAAACTGGATACCTTCTTTGGTACTTTGTTACGATTTAGGTATCTGTAACTGGGGTAGACGTGTTCTAAACGGAGACCACTTCTAGGCAACCGTGGTGTAGAGCGCCCTCCAACTACGTGGATTGACGATATCTCTCTGAAACACAATGGCGTGCCATTGGACATGCCTATGTTCAGCAGTGGGCGGAACCAGGTTGATAATAATGATGGTGATCTGTATGGACTTGCCAGCATTTTCAATAATCATTCCACTCAAAATCAGATAAGGAAAATTAATTTACAAAAAAGAAATTAGTGTCTACCTTAACAATTAACAATATCAATCCGCAACGCAGCTTGTGGTGATCTGTTGGGCAGTGGCGACCCTCGGACCTGACTCCCGGGAGCTGTCTTGTTCTTCATCCTCCTGGAGCTTCATCGTAGCTGGAGTGAACACTGATGAGGAACGAGCCCTCCTACCTCATTCTTGCCTAAATTGGCTGGCTTGAGTGCAGATTCGCAAGAGTAGGAGTTGAAGGAGACTCGGGGGAAGGATGTGTCTCAGTAAGGTGCTGGTAGGGGTCTTGACCGTACTTCCGGGATTCCTCTAATAGCCGTGGGATGCCTCATCTTCCCTAAGCCGTTCTCTCGTGTCACTACATGCTAGCCTTGCTGCCATGCTAGCAATTGTGTTTGCCAGTCACCCCCTGCCTGTTTATCCGTAAGTATGAATATTGGTCAGGGGCAGGGGCCATAGTATTTCCATACTTATCATATCCACTAGTCCATAGCAACCCATTACCATTACCTTTTCAATTATTACCACATTTCACAATAGTCCTGCATCCTATTATATACTTATATACACATATATACTTATAATTAAAGTTGTTCAACGGGCCTCTGCGATTTGGCTTCGGCCCCTCGTACGCCTTTCAAAGGTCCGGCATCCCGTGAAAGGAAACGAAAAATATCAAATGCGTAGGTAATCACTTAATATCACCAATAAAAGTCAATAGAGAGTAAAAAACATATACGATGCCATAAAATTATGAGTGCACTCTTATCTTGAAGTAAATACCACATATACACATGTTTATCAAACTCTAAATAACCCCCTCAGTCGAGTATGTAAAGGCACATTATCTGTAAATGCTTACCGATGTTCTACTTTTATTGTCACTGTCACGAGTAGGCAGGAAGCCTTGCATTTTCATTGTTTTTCAGGGTGTAAGATATTGTCAAATTACTTCTCCTGCCCTGTGTGGGGTGAAAAGGAGTATGTTCCACTAATTAGTCAGTGTAGCACGGCCCGCAGCAGGAGAAGGAACGTCATGGTTTCCAGAAAGAGTCTGACACTTTTCTCTCGCCCCACCTAGAACGAAGTTATTTTATGACTATCCCCACTCAAAAATAAGGCTCAGTAAGATACTGATAAAAACTTGTGACTGGACTGAACGCGATGGAACTATCCTCCCCACGCCCCAACCGCCGCTGGAGTGGACACTCCAGTCATCGGGGATCATGCTACGATCTCCGGTCACTGTAAGCGTGGGTCTGCGGACAGCAAGCATGAGTAGTTTACCGCCTGAATAGAACTAGACCAAAGCGTACACGTTCAGTGTTTTTTTTTTTGATGTAATAGATTGGCAAACGAGCAGACGGATTACCTGATGGTAAGCAATCAGCGCCGCTCATGGACACCCCCAACGGAGGAGATACGAGTGCTTTGCCGAACTTTTAGGGATTCACCTCACTCACACGGCAAAACGCAACGCTGTGGTTCTTTCACGCCGGTTTTCTGTGAGTCCGTGGTATCACTCCGGTTGAGCCGACAAAGAGCCATTAGACCATCACAGATGGAACCCAAAACCCATGATGGCATATGTTCAATCGGGTAACGGTTGTTCAATGTAACAAACGGGGTAACAATACCTCGGCTTCGGCCCAGAGCATGAGAAGAGAGGTTGGTTTTTAGTCAGTAACATTCCCTCACCGGGCGGGAGAAGTCCTTTGACAAATATCCACCTCCATGCTGAAAGCGGGCGCCACTAAGATCGATGGATATCTATCTTATATTTATGTATATATCGGCGCAATAACGATAATTAGTCAATTACAAGAATCAACAGTTAATTAATTAGTTTAATAATTTGATTGTGCCAACACTAGTTCATAAGCAATTAATTAATATTGTTTGATTATTGCAATGTAGAAAGCTTGTAATGTAAATAATTCAATACTTAACCTAAAAATTATGTACACGTGCTTGCCACACTATAAATACAGCCGCACAAAGCGTGCTAGGGCAGTCTTGCTCGAGCCGCCGAACTGTACGGACCTATGTAAATACGTCGTTACGCTGTCGGTTGAATAAACGAGACTTGCAAGTATACTTGTGGTGTTTTACTAAGAAGATTGAGGATGAGTGATCACCGCGAAGATAGTGTCAGTGACGTCAGCTGTGCTGACGTCACACTTTTTAAAAACGGAACCGAGACAGTTCCTCCGTCATCAGAAGTGGGATCACAGGAGATCTCTACTCACACCACTTCCTCATCAGCTCGTTTACCACCTGAGCAACTGGAACCAGCCAACAACCAGCGTCGGGAGCCTGTATTGGTCTCCAACGCATCAACGGAAGCCATATCTCAATCAAGACCACATACATACCATGATCAAGGGATGCGGATGGATGGAATACCACCACAATTCCTGATGCAGATGATGGAGATGATGCAGAGAATGTCAGAGCGTTTGTGCGCTCCGCCTACTGAATCAAAAATAAGGATCAAAGACATTTACCTGCCATCATTCGACCCGGATACTCATGTCGGAGTACGTGAGTGGTGTCAACATATAGATCAAGCCATTGAAGCATATAAACTGAGTGATTTCGATGTTCGTATGAAAGTCTGCAGCCTGCTGAAGGGCCGTGCTAAAATGTGGGTCGACGATTGGATGGTGAACAGTAGTACCTGGGAAGAGTTGCGAAAGAACCTCATCACTACATTCGAACCTGAGAACAGATACTCCAGAGACATTGCTATGTTCAGGGAACATGTTTATGATTCCTCAAAGGACATTGCCGAGTTCTTGTCGCGGGCATGGATCCTATGGAGAAGAGTCACCAAGGACAAGTTGGGAGATGAGCACGCAGTGGAGGCAGTGATTGGATGCGTTAATGATGAACGATTACGCATCGAGTTACTGAATGCCAGAGCAACCACTGTTCCTGAACTGATTTCAGTGGCAACATCTATAAGGAAAAAACGTTCTCACCCAAGCTCAAATTCCACAATGCCTAACAAGCGTTCACGATTTGCAGACAGTCAACCATCAACATCTAGCTGCCGCATATGTAAAAAGACAAACCACTCAACTAACGATTGCAGATTTAAACCTCCGGAGGCTAAACCCGAAACTGGTAACAAGGACCCTAAAGCACAAACCATACCTACGTGCACCTATTGCAAGAAACCGGGCCACAGTTATGAAACTTGCTTCAAACGGGAACGTTCGTTGACTTCAAATGTAAATTACGTAGGAAGCAATAAGCTGGCTCCTATTTTCATCAAAATAGGAGGAAAGACATTGCAAGCTGTGTTCGATAGTGGGGCTGAATGTTCAATAATGCGAGAATCAGTTGCTATGGTTCTACCAGGTCAAAGGAGCTCAGCAGTTAACTATTTGAAAGGAATTGGTCAATTTCCAGCGCTATCGTTAACCAAGCTTACAACTATATGCGTCATAGATACCATAAATATTGAGCTGGAGTTTCATGTGTTACCTGATTATGAAATGTCAACAGATATTTTAGTGGGAATGAACCTGATTCATGATACCAATCTGAATGTGATAATTACACCCCACGGAACGAAGCTAGTTCACAACACAATCATCAATCTGGTATGTACAAATTCTCCTATTTTTAATCATTTGGATTGTGATCTAACCAGCGAAGATGAAATCTCACAATTACGTGGACTTCTGAACAAATACGAGCATTTATTTATCCGCGGATATCCTAAAACTCGGGTGAACACAGGAGAACTGGAAATCAGACTGAAAAACCCAGATAAATTTGTCGAAAGAAGACCATATCGCCTCAGTCCATTGGAAAGGGAGAAAGTTCGTACCATAATTCAAGAATTATTAGAACACAATATCATACGTGAAAGCAAATCACCTTATTCAAGCCCTATTATCTTGGTCAAAAAGAAGAATGGCGATGATCGTCTCTGCGTTGACTTTCGAGAACTTAACTCGAACACTCTACGTGATCACTATCCACTTCCATTGATTTCCGACCAGATTGACCAGCTGGCAAATGGCCATTTTTACACAAGTCTGGATATGGCAGCTGGTTTTCATCAGATTCCTATCGCTGAAACCTCAATAGAGAAGACCGCCTTCGTTACACCAGATGGGCTATATGAATACCTTACCATGCCGTTTGGTTTGAGTAATGCTTGTTCGGTTTACCAGCGATGCATCAACAGAGCCCTGACGTCATTGCTGGGGACAGCTGCGCAGGTCTACGTGGATGATGTGCTGTCCAAATGCACAGATTTCCCAGAAGGAATATCACACCTGGAGAGGATTCTGATAGCGCTGCAAGAGGCTGGCTTTTCTATAAATGCTGACAAATGCAGTTTTTTCAAACGATCCATAGAATACCTCGGAAACATAGTTTCTGACGGACAAGTACGACCAAGCCCACGAAAAGTGGAAGCTCTCGTCAAAGCTCCAGTACCTAAAACTGTAAAACAAGTGAGGCAGTTCAATGGACTAGCGGGATACTTCAGGAAATATATCCCTGACTTTTCACGTATAATGTTACCATTGTATGAACTGACGAAACAAGGTGCAAAATGGACATGGACAGACAATCACGAAAAAGCGCGTAACACAATCATCGAATACTTAACGTCTACCCCAGTGCTGACATTATTCCAAGAAGATGCTCCCATACAACTGTATACGGATGCTAGCAGCCTTGGGTATGGTGCAGTACTGGTACAGGTGATCAACGGACGTCAACATGCAGTTGCATTTATGAGCATGAGGACCACCGAAGCAGAAAGTCGTTACCACTCCTATGAGTTGGAAACATTAGCAGTGGTGCGAGCTATAAAACATTTTCGCCAATATTTGTATGGACGAAAATTTACGGTGATAACGGACTGCAATGCATTGAAGGCGTCCAAACACAAGAAGGACCTTTTGCCGAGGATTCATCGTTGGTGGGCTTTCTTGCAAAACTACGACTTTGAAATTGAGTACCGCAAAGGTGAACGTCTCCAACACGCTGACTTTTTCAGCAGAAACCCGACTGAATTTGCAGTCAATGTTATGACAAGAGACATGAATTGGCTCAAGATTGAACAGCGGCGTGATGATCAACTGCGACCTATAATGGACAGTCTTAGCGGTGGCAATTCAGTGGAGGGCTACGTCTTGGAAGATAACGTCTTAAAGAAACAAGTTAACGATCCAGTTTTTGGTCAACAGCTTAGCACAGTCGTCCCCAAGGCATTCCAATGGAGTATTATTAACTCTTTTCACACCGTACTGAAACATCCTGGTTGGGAAAAGACATTACAGAAGATCAGAGAAACTTATTGGTTCGATAAAATGAGTTCTACTATTCGAAGATTTGTGGACAACTGTGTGATATGCCGAACATCAAAAGGAAGATCTGGTGCCATTCAAGCCCAACTGCACCCAATAGAAAAGCCGTCAGCGGCTTTTCAAGTTATTCATATGGATATAACTGGGAAGCTGGGAACTCCAGATGATCAACAGTACGTTATAGTCACCATTGATGCTTTCTCAAAATATGTTCTGTTCTACTTCTCTAGCAACAAGAATCCACACAGTACACTAGCCGCTCTGAAACGCACTGTACATCTATTCGGTGCACCAATTCAAATAATAGTCGATGGAGGCAGAGAGTTCCTTGGTGAGTTTAAAGACTATTGTGACCACGCTGGAATAAATATTCACGCCATAGCCCCAGGAGTTAGCCGAGCGAATGGTCAAGTAGAGAGGGTTGTTGCAACTCTCAAAAATGCATTGGTGATGATTAAAAACTACGAAACAGAGCAGTGGCACACTACACTTGAGGAACTACAACTAGCAATGAACTGTACAACTCATCGTGTTACTGGAGTTGCTCCGTTGACACTTATTACACAACGGAAGCATTGTGTACCTTCTGAGCTCCTCAGCATAGTGAACATCGATACTGAAACCGTAGATATCGAGGCACTTTCTCAACAGGTATTACAGAAAATGTCTCGTTCAAGCGAACAAGACAGACAACGATTTAATCAACATAAAGCCAAAATTCATCATTTCCAAATAGGAGACTATGTGTTGATTAAGAATAATCCTCGCAATCAAACATCACTCGACCTTAAATTTAGTGAACCTTATGAAGTGTCTAGAGTACTAGAAAATGACCGCTATTTGGTGAAGAAGGTGGTCGGCAGGGGGCGACCTCGCAAGGTAGCTCATGATCAGCTGCGCCGCGCACCACAACCCGGTGAACAGTTGACCGTATCGGCGGGAAATGGATCACCAGGTCATCAGGAGTCTGCTGCATTTGAGCCCATCCCTTCGACTTCACGAGACCCAGAAAACCACGAGCTACAGGGTGAAAACAATTCACCAGAATAAACTGTAAGTAACTAAATTCAATACCAGTAACTTCAAAGATTTCCATGAAACATATGTATCTACGAGAACCTACGAGAACCCACGAGAACCTTCGAGAACCTCCGAGACACTCCGAGAACCCTACGAGACCCTACTACCTCATTAATACTGATATCACTAACCATAAAAGGCATTGTGTGTTGGTGTAATAACTAACATAAGCAACACAAGTTGCTCACAGATATCCGACTCAAAAGAAGTCTAATCTATTGTTGCAGGTACAAATAAGAACAACAATCAACGAGGCTGGTGCAGAGCTCGCACCGCCTGTCAGTATGGCCGTATCGGCGCAATAACGATAATTAGTCAATTACAAGAATCAACAGTTAATTAATTAGTTTAATAATTTGATTGTGCCAACACTAGTTCATAAGCAATTAATTAATATTGTTTGATTATTGCAATGTAGAAAGCTTGTAATGTAAATAATTCAATACTTAACCTAAAAATTATGTACACGTGCTTGCCACACTATAAATACAGCCGCACAAAGCGTGCTAGGGCAGTCTTGCTCGAGCCGCCGAACTGTACGGACCTATGTAAATACGTCGTTACGCTGTCGGTTGAATAAACGAGACTTGCAAGTATACTTGTGGTGTTTTACTAAGAAGATTGAGGATGAGTGATCACCGCGAAGATAGTGTCAGTGACGTCAGCTGTGCTGACGTCACACTTTTTAAAAACGGAACCGAGACAGTTCCTCCGTCATATATAATCGTATTATTATATTTTTATCAAATCTGAATGAAAGTCCAAAGTACCTACCGAGGTACACTTTGCAACCTAATCAACGCGTATCGTTTAGTTCGACGCGAGAACTTGATTAGCACACACGTGTCTTGTTAACATAAAAAAAAGAAAAACAAAAAAAAATGTTACGTCAACCTAATTACATATATGGGCCGAACACAGCCCTAGTGCCGGCTAGACTTAATTTCGGCGAATACATGTTACAACAATTGAGAAAATTTGACAATAATACTGTTTTGGTAAGTATCAAGCTTATGTTTTATTTGTTAAGGCTCATTTTCGAACACTTATAGGTAATCGAGGTGTACACTCCTTATAGAGGTGTTCAAATATGTTTGGTTCAACATAAGATTTAAAAACCTACACTAAATAAAGAACATGGCAAGAAAAATACCTACAATAAAGTTCCACAAGATAGATATTAAAATAAAACTAAATGTATAAATAGAATAATGAATTTAATTCATCAACAAATATACCTACCTATAATATTAATTAATAATGAAGACACAATTTTATCAACCAATAACTACTCTCGCGCGGTTTCACCCGCTGCTCGGATCCATTTAAACGTAGCGTGATATTTATAGCCTATAGCACTCAGGAATATTATAGCTATCTATCAGTGAAAGAATTTTGGAAATCCAACCAGCGGTACCAAAGATTACTCCCTACATACAAACTTACAAATTTTACCTCTCTTTATAATATTAGTATAGAAGTATAGATGGTTGGGGTGAAAGCGCCATAAGGCTCCGTTCCCTGCCCTGAATAGGAGAAGAAACGGGATGGTTTTTAGTCAATAAGAGTCTGAAACTCTCTTTAGCCTTACACAGAGTAGGAAAAAATATTAGATGATTTCCGAGCCAAAAAAAAATGCATTTAATTGTTTCCTATATTAAGTATCTGTAAAAGATCACTAACTCATAAGTCCATTCTATGTATTTGTGAACGAATACTTTCGTCTAGAGGATAGGTTGACATCGGATCAGACTGGTCGCCAAAAATGCAGACTGGCCACCTGATGGTAAGCAATCAGCATCAACCATGGACACCTGCAACACCATACTAGGTTGCCCATCGTTGCCTTTTTTTGTCAGGGGAAAATCGTCAAATGACTTCTCCCGCCCAGGGTAAGGCGAGAGAGAGTGTCAGACTCTTACTATCTAAAACCCCCCCGTTCTTTCTCCTGCTCTGGGCCGAGGCCGCGGTGACTCATTGCGCTTAACCCGCAACTCCTGCTGTGCCCATCGTTTGTGGGTCAGGTTTTAGAAGATTAGGGAATAATTAGGGACTTTATTCCACAGCATAACACAAATATTTTTTAAGCCGATTTTCTGTGAATTTGGTATCACTTTGGTCCCACACTTGATAAAAACATCAAATGTAATTTAATTGACTTCGTGCAAAGTAAAGATTGTTTGGACCATATTATCATTGTATTGTAATTGTGATAAGGCACTTGTATTCAGATAAAATGATGTTGACAATTCGTTCATCGTTGTAATTATAAAGGAGTCTGATAAAAATATTTACTCACTTGCTGTTTTGATGATTACGTTACAAGCTGTAGGTATTGTGTGGGCACTACAAATTACCTAATCAATATCTTTTTATATACCTATTAATTCTGCTGTACGTGTGAATGTCACTAAAATCTCCTAAACGGCTTGACCGATTTAAACGAATTTTTCTGTATGCGTTTGAGTGGCGCCCTGGATAGTTTAGATTCACAAATCAGCTCGGCAGATGGCAGATGAATTCTGATTGCTTTAAAAAGTATGTGATCTCAGAAACGGCGGTACCGATTTCGCTGAAATTTGATATGTGGGGGTTTTCTGGGAGGGTCCGCTAGTACCTATATAAAAATAAATCGCAAAATGTGTTGGTAAGCGCAAAACTCAACAACGCCTGAACCAATTTTGCCAATTCTTTTTTGTTGTATTTATTATTGTCGGGAGATAGTGCTCAGACCTTTTGGGGATTAGGGATTTGCAGTTTTAGGGATTGGGGGAGCGGCAGTATCGGGCCTCCGGTAACTTCACTCACATGCGGAAACACAAAACTCTTTCAAAAAAAGAATTCATTAAATTTTCAGATTAACGCAGCTACGGAAGAACGTATAACCTATTCAGAAATACTGCAACAATCAATGAATTTTGCTATCTCACTCACTCGTATGGGTGTTAAAAAGGGAGACACGATTGGCTTAATTTCTGAGAATCGGTTTGAATTCTGGGGGGCGACTATAGGGGCGGCATGCGCAGGCGCTGTAGTATCTCCTATTAGCGTAGGGTATGTTAAGGGTAAGTGAAATACATGTAATTTCTTTTGAATGTTCACTATTATCATCCAGAATACCTCTTCTTCTTTTGAACAAGGACTTTACAGTTATAACATACTAGCTTTTCACAACGCTTTCGCTCCCGCCATTTGACTATCTATGTTACTCTACCTACGTATTTACATTTCACTACCTACCCTATCCTACTGACCCTACCCTACCTACTCTACCTTTTCCTATTCTGTTCTTTTTCTGGTTCTAAACGATAGCCCCAGAAATTCTCAACGAAATCGGTTCATTTGTTCTTGAGTTATAAATAGTGTAACTAACATGACCTTCTTTTATACTTTTGCTAGGTCTTACCCTTGCTTCCGTCGTTTTGACTAACCTACAACTTGCCTACACTCTATGCCCTACCCTACTCTGCCTACCCTACCCTATCATTCTACCTACCCTACCCTACCTACTCTACCCTACCCTATAATCCTACCTACCCTACCCTGCCTACTCAACCCTATTCTATTCTGGTTCTAAATTACATTTTTACAAATTCTCAACGAAACCAGTTCAGCAGTTTTTGAGTTATAAAAATAGTGTTACTAACACGACTTTCGTTTTTCGAACACTTGCAACACCAGAGGAGTCACAGGTGCATTGTCGGCCTTTTAAGAAGGAGTACGCTCGTTTACACACAGACATATATACATAGCCATATAAGGGAGCTTTGGATCCTATGAACTGACGTCCTTGGATAGTCCTACCATGGCGTTTAAGTCACATTGTTATATTCTTATAAGGTCCCTTACCAACCCTTTCCAATATTACATCTGTCATTTGTTTTCCAGGTGAACTCATCCACGTATTGAACATTTCAAAACCCAAATACATAATCTGTTCGCCGTCACTCTACAGAACACACGCCAAGACAATAGCTTCAATGAAATTCGTGAAAAAAGTCATCTTGTTCGGTGATGGAAAGCAAAATGGGACACTTTCGTACAACGACATGGTTATTGAGAATAATGGCGTTATAAAAAACGTGAATTACGATGAGTTTCGTTGCGTAGAAGTTGTCGGTCAAATTGATCCGGTATTCGTAATGTATTCTTCTGGCACGACCGGGCTGCCGAAAGGAGTGATGATCACACATCTGAATATTTTGACTTTATTGTGTGCGTAAGTATTTTTTTACTAACATCAGCCTGTAAGTGTTTGCTTGAAGCGGATTGGCGATTACAAACTTATAATTAGAAATTATAAGTTCAGGTTTCCCTCTCTTCAGGTTCTCTTCACCCGTATTTCACTCTTGTGTTCTCGTAGTTGTATCTACAGTTACACCATATAAGAGGGATTTGCTATAATTACCGACATTTTTTTATGTAATAAGTCGGCAAACGAGCAGACGGATTACCTGATGGTAAGCAATCAACGCCGACACCCGCAACGGAGGAGTTACGAGTGCGTTGCCGACCTTTTAGGGATTAGGGATTGGGGAAGGGTCCGGGAAGGGGAAGGATTGGGCCTCCGGTAACCTCACTCACACGGCGAAACACAACGCTGTGGTTGTTTCACGACGGTTTTCTGTGAGGCCGTGGTATCACTCCGGTCGAGCCGACCCATTCGTGCCGAAGCATGGCTCTCCCACACTTGTCTAAATATAATATTTGTCAGTGGTGTCTAAATATAATAAACTTATATTTTTTGAGGGGGAAAACCATCAAAGTTAGGAGACATTTGTCACCCTGAGAGTACCGAAAGTGAGTTTCAGACTCCTAATGACCAAAAACTCTAGCTCGATTGGATTGATACCGCAGCCTCGCAGAAAACCGGCGTGAAACAAACTGCGTTGTATTTCGCCGTGTGAGTGAGGTTACCGGAGGGCCAATCCTTCTCCTCCCCCTATCCCTCCTCAGTCCTTTAATATCCGAAGCCCTTATCGCCAAAAAGCCGGCAACGCACTCACGTTGTTTCACTTTCACTCCTTTTTTGGTGAAATTGCTTACCATTAGGTAATCCGTCTACACGTTTGCAGACCTATTTCACAAAAATAAACACCCCGTTCCTTCTCCTGATCCAAGGCCAAAGTCACAGTACATTATTGCTCTTGATCCGTAATCCTGGCTGAACATCAGCTTTTTAGGGCAACATCTATGGTGGTCTAATAGTCTAACACCCGGTTTCTGAAAGGCTTGTCAACACTAAAATTAGCTAATCTCCTGTTAAAGCTCTTGTCAAGTCATCTGATTGGTTGACTGGATTATCAACAACCAATCAGATGACTTGACAAAAGATTAAATTGATTTTAACATTGATCGGCCTTCCGGAAACCGGGTGTTAGTCTAATCCAATTATTATTATTATTTTTTGTCAGGTGAAAATTATCAAATGACTTCTCCGGCCGAAGGTAAGGCGAGAGAGAGTGTCAGACTCTTACTGACTAAAAACTTCCCCGTTCCTTTTCCTGCTCTGGGCCGAGGTCGCGGTGCCTCATTGCGCTTACCCTGCAACCCTGGCTGAAATAGAACTATCTTAGATTTATAACTCTGTCATCAACCATTTTTTTTTCTGCTGTTTAGGCGCAGTTTCGCCGATCCCTCCACAGTATTGATCTCCATATCCCCGTGGTATCACGCCATGGGTTTTGTGGGGTGCTTAAACGGGTTTTCCAATGGCCTGTGTTTTATCTATCTACCCAAGTTTGAAATCGACCTGTACCTCAGAACTATTGAGAAGTTTAAGGTAAGTTTTAAGGGGGAGAAAAAATGTTTTGCGGCCACTTTTTCTGCTCATAATTATTTGAACAAGCTGATCCCGCTGCTAGTTCAGATTGTTTTTGGCTATAGTGATCAATCTTACTTTAAATATTTGTGTAGTGTGATTGGCCCAATCAACTAATAACGGCATGGGGCGACAACAAGGTGCAACTGATAAATTACTACAAAGTCGCTTACTCTGTCTTTTTATTCCTCTGTATGCCCAAATCTTTAAAATTATGAAACGGGTTTTGATGCGTTTTTCAATTGATACAGTGATTTAAGAAGAGGCTTCATTTTAGAATCAGCAATACTTATTAAAAAGATCGTTGTAAAATTTTCTCCTATGTCGGGTGCGTTAACAAGCATACAAATTCACTCCCAGATCCGAAATTTGTAGATTACGTAAAGAGCTAATTTGTAACTGGAACGCGACTCGATTGCGCTCTTTCAGTGCACCCACCGTTCAGTTAAATGTTTTTTGGCGAATATTGTAACCAAGTTTATTTGGACTTTGCAAAATCCTCAAACCACACTAAATATCTCTATAAAAATTCCAGGTAGGTCAACTAACAGTGGTCCCATCGATTCTGGTATCTATATGCAAGCACCAGACCCAGAAGTACGACCTCAGCTCTGTGCAGTTCATAATGAGTGGTGCTGCTCCGCTGCGTAAGGATACCATAGCTGCTGTACATGAGAAGTAAGTTGGAGTGCTTTGTCATAATCATCATCATCATCAGCCTATATAATAATATGTCAACTGTTGAACAAAGGCTCTTTCAAACGTAGAAGATTTGTGCATTAATCACCACGCTTGCTGAAGGCTGATTGGCGATTTCAAACTTGTAGTTAGAAATTATAAGTCCAGGTTTCCTCATGATGTTTTTCTTCAGTGGTGACTAAATAATCATAGAAAGTTCATAAACTTCGGAAAAAGTCACATTGGTACATGCCAGGTTTCGAACCAGCACCCTCATGCATGAGAAGCGGGTGCCTTATTTACAGGGCCACCACGACTATTTGTCATCACCAGCCTCGTGTTCTTCCACTACCAGACATGGCTCATATTTTTGAGTATCTCTGCTCTACTCCCGGGTATTTCAAGAGAAGTAGGGCTTGCACATTTTTCTGAGACCAGGTAGTAGCCTTGTATGGCTCTCTGATAAACCTGTACCAAAATTGGAAGCATTCAAAAACAACGTAACGAAATTGTAATTCCTTTGATGATGCAAAAGTGACGCTGACTTGCCATTAAAAAAGCGTACTTAAAAAAATTTGACGAACTGAAAAATCACTACATACATAGTATAAAACAAAGTCGCTTTTTCTGTCCCTATATCCCTATTTATGCTTAATCTTTAAAACTACGCAAGGGATTTTAATGCGGTTTTTTTAATAGATAAAGTTATTGAAGAGGAAAGCTTATGGAAATATGGATAGGTATGTAACAACATCCATTAAGTAGTGGAAAAAATTGAATCAGCATTGCACTCAGTGCGAAGACAGGGCGGTTCGTTAGTGGCAAATAATATAAGCGAATGAGTTCCTTTAAGACATCTCTCCTCAGGTTTTGTGTAAAAAGTATAAGTATCTAATAGATCTATCTTGTTTAAAACCCCCATGTTTCAGGTTCCCCAACCTTGTGATGGTGATGCAAGGCTATGGTGCTACAGAGCTGACGCTGGGAGTGCTGGGTTTCTTCCCGGATAGTGCTAGACATGATAAGGTCGGCAGTGTAGGCGTTGTTGTACCGAATACTGTGCTAAAGGTAAATTACCTACACTTAGAAGTTTCTGGACTATATTTTTCGCCTACACCTAATCCTAACACACAATGATACCCTTTTTTTTTTTTTTTTTTTTACGGGGGGAAATCCTCATGGACTTCCTCCGCCTGGGGAGAGGCGGAGGGGCGTGCCGGACTCTTACCGGCTAAAACCACCCCGGTGTCTCCTCGCACGTGCGCACGGGGCCGCGGGAATCCACATTCTTCCGCAGCCCCACACTAGTGCTGGCCCGGTCTGTCCGGGCCTCGTCTCTAGCACGGGGTAGTGAGGTGTTCGACTACCCCGTGCATCCTCTTAGAGGCGCGCGTAGACACCGCGCGCGCCTTCGCCTCGGGTCCATCGGATAGGGGGCGGGGACTTCCCCAAGTCCGTCGCCCCTGGACCCATTCATGGGGGGCGGAAGAGGGCGTTATCCGCCCTTCTTCTGCGCCCGGTGCGTCTTCTGCGGCCTGGGAAGGGAGTGGAGATCTCCCTCTCCCGTTCCGCAGCTTCCTTCTGCGACATCACGTCCTCGCAGAAGGACACCACCGCGTCCCACGACTCTGCGCTACCGACCATACTACGAACCACGGCCGGCAGCGACAGATCGCCTCCTACTTCTGATGTGAGGGCACGGCGCTGCTCCTCCCAAGCCACACACTCGGCGAGCGTGTGTTGCGCCGTGTCCTCCCCACAATGGACGCAGTGGTGGCACCGAGCGTCCGGCTCCCTGTCTATGCGACACAGGTACTTGCCGAAGCAACCGTGCCCCGACAATACCTGTGTCACTCTGAACGACAGGGAGCCATGCCTTCTCCCGAGCCAGTCGTCGAGTACTGGCCGGATCGCCTCGACGGTAGCGAGGCCGGCGGTAGGGCGCAGAAGCCTCTGCCGCCATTCCGCCACCAGGACCTGACGGAGCTCCTCTCGGCGCCGCGCGATCTGCCGCTGCACCGGTCTCGAGCCCCGTGCCCGCTCTTCCTCGCGCCATCGATATAATGACGCGAGTACTTTCGCCTCTAGGTCCCAGGGCGGGGATCCGGCCAGGACGCAAGCCGCCTCGTAGGAGATCGTGCGATACCCGCGGACGACTCTGACGGCCATCGCCCTCTGCGGCTTCCGCAGAATGGCGAGAGTACTGGCCGTCATGTCGAGCGCCCACACAGGGGCCCCATACAGGGCCATGGATCGCACGATTCCCACGTACAACCGCCTACAGGCGGCGCTCGGGCCCCCCAAGTTGGGAAGCAACGTTGAAAGCGCGCCTGCTGCACCCATCAGCTTGGGCACCAGCCGCCGGAAGTGGGGACCGAATTCCCAACGGCTGTCGAGCACCAATCCCAGGTATTTCATGGTGGACTCGACAGCTATCCGGGTCCCACTGACCACGATGTGTGATCCCGGCGCCGGCGCGCGTCGGTGGCCATGAAACACCATGGCCTCCGACTTGTTCAGGGCCACCTCCAGGCCCAGGCGCCGGATGCGGTTCACCACCTGTGACACCGCAGCCGTGGCTATCAACGTCGCTTCCCTGTGCGAGCTCCCCCGGGCAGTGACAAGCGTGTCGTCCGCGTAACACGTCAAGTCGGCGCCCGACGGGAGTTCGCCTCTCAGCACCCAGTCGTATCCGATGTTCCACAGGAGCGGTCCCAGGACCGATCCCTGTGGGACACCGCACGACGTGAGGCGCCGACCGGCACCGTCACGTCCCCGATAGGTGACGCATCTACCTTCCAGGTAAGCCCCTACTGTACGGTGGAGGTAGGGAGGCACACGATGGTAATGCAGCGCCTCCCGAATACAACTCCAGGGCAGGGTATTGAAGGCGTTGGAGATGTCCAAGGACACCGCCAGCACCACCCCACCCCGGGACACCGTTTCCTCCGCCAGGACCCTCACGCGCATGATGGCATCTATGGTGGAGCGCCCCCGACGAAACCCAAACTGTTTATCGTCTAGGTTCGGCCCCTCCCTGCACAAGTGGCTGACGAGGCGATCTGCGATAATACGCTCAAAAAGTTTGCCCGCCTCGTCTAGCAACACTATGGGCCGATACGCGGACGGCGAGTCCGCGGGGCGCCCCTCCTTCCTGAGCAGGACCAGCCTCCCCTCCTTCCACACACTGGGAAACTGGCCCCGCTCGAGACATGCCGTGAAGAGCCCCCTCAGCTGGGGCTCTAGCTCCTTCAGAGCTAAGACGAGAGCTCGACCAGGAACTCCGTCGGGTCCGGGCGCTGTGTTCTTGGCCCGGAGTCGCGACACGGCCGCTCTCGTCTCTGCTTGCGTCACCTCGGGGACATCGGTGCTCTCCTCTTCTGGAGAGTCTGTGGCTGAGGGCGAAGCCATCGCCGGGGGAACGTGTCCCGCTCGCTCAGGGAAGAGGGCCGACACTACCGCCTCTAGCAACTGGGGTTGTATCGTCTGGGTAAGTGGAGGCGCCCAGGCCCGCAGCTTGCCCCGTGCCCAACGGTAGGGGCGCCCCCACGGATCCCGATCCAGGGACCCCAGTAGCTCTTCCCTGGCACGCGACTTTGAGTCGCCGATGGCCAGCCACAGAGTCTCTTTGGACGCGCGGTACACCTCATACAGCGCGTCCTCCTCGGCGGGATCCCGTCGACGTCGCCTCCGGTATCGAGTGTACTGGCGGCGAACCGCAACGCACTCGACGCGCAGCCGCGCGATCTCTGCGGTCCACCAGTACACCTGGCGCCTTGCGGACTGTTGGCGGACGCGGGGCATGGACGCGTCGCAGATCTGCGTCATCGCCCCGCGAAACCACAGCGCCACCGCCTCGACGTCGACGGGTCCGTTCGTCGCCGACTCCCAGGTCCAGGACTGGACTAAGGCAGCTTCCTCGAGTAGCTCCTTGTCGATGCGCTTAAGCGCCCAACGCGGGCCGTCGTTAATCGGGGTTGTTGGATGGCGGCCGCTCGCGGTCTGGGCGGAGACGTCGAACCGGATATACCGATGGTCCGACAACGTCTCCACCTCCACGGCGACACGCCAGTCGCGGACTCGGCTGGCGACAGAGGGGCTAGCGAACGAGACGTCCACTATCGAACCGCCCCGCTGCCGCACGCACGTAAATTCCGAACCCCGATTTAGGACGACCAGACCGGTCGTCACCGCCCACTCTTCCAGCACCTCGCCCCGAGGGTCAGTGACCGGAGATCCCCACGCCGATGACTTGGCGTTGAGATCCCCAAGCACCAGAACGGGACGAGGGTGATGGCGGCCTACGACGGCGCCCAACTCGACAAGGAAACCCTCGAAGTCGGCGAGACTCTTGTTGGGGGAGAAATACGCCCCCACAACGACGATACCGCCCGACACCGCAGCAACCCAGCCGCGGCCCCGAGACGGGTCGATCAGAGTCTCGCCAATAATGGCCACCAAACCGTCAGCGCACCCCAACCAGTTGTCACGGTCGGGGATGAAATACGGTTCGGCGACCACAGCCACGTTGATCGACCACTCTGCCATGCTCTGGAGTAGGAGATCCTGAGCTCTGGCACAGTGGTTGATGTTGCCCTGGAGGAAATGGAGTTGTGCCATTATTGACATTCCATTCCCTCGGCAACGGTCCTGGGCCGGGAGTCGGCCGCGGAGCTACTAGCCTGCGGGGGGGTCGAGATCTCCCCGGCAGGCTGAGTGCCCCTCTTCTTTTTCTTCTTGGCCTTGCTGGCAGGCGCACCACAGGCCCCTCCGCCCACTCTGTGTCCCGCTGGCTTCCCTGCAGCCGAACACAAGCTGCAGTTGAGCGCCGCGGAACACTGGGCCGCCTTGTGGCCAGGCTGACCACAGCGGTAGCAAAGGTCGCTGCGGTCAACCTCGGCGGTGCACTTTGCCCGGACGTGCCCCTTTTCCAGGCACCGGAAGCACCGCAAAGCCCGGGGCTGCAGGAGTTTGACCCTCGCTGCAACCCAGCCCACCAGCAATCTGCCACTATCGGCGATCTTCTTCGCCGTCGCTACAGGGCACCGAACCCAGACTACGCCGAGTCCGGTAGCGTCGGCGCGTATGTCGCCGGCCCGCACCTTGTCCGGCGGACACTCACCGCTTCGGGCAACGGCCGCCACCACCTCCTCAGAGGTCACGGAATCATCCAGGCCAGCGATCCGCACCTCTGCGGTTTTCATTGGCCTGGAGACCCGGACATCCTCAGGGTTGAGGACCTCCCTCAGTTTGGCGGCCAGAGCGTCCGCCTTTTCGGCACTGCCGCTCTCAGCACCGGCCACCTCAAACAGCCGCGCACCCGTGGCAGCTTGCCTGAGGGCGACGGACTGAAGGCCAAGATCCGACAATTTGATCCTGGCCTTGGCCTCGGCGATGACCGACGCGTACGTTACGCCGCGCTCCGCCGCTCCTGGCTGCAGCGTGAGCGTCACAGCTTCGGAACGCGGAGCATGCAGCGTCGGTCCTTTGCGACCACCTTTGGCAGTCCGCCGCGCAGGCTGAGCAACCGCCTTTGCGGTTCGGCCGGGGGCGCGTGCTGCTGCTGAGGCCGCCTTAGCGGCTTTGCGGGCCTTCTTGCGGCCCACGACTGTCGCCCAGGTCTCACCCTTAGACCCGGCAGTCGTGGGCTGATCGCTCGGGGGAATTCCCTCCGCGGGCTTCTTGGCACCCTCCGCGGGCTTCCCCTTGCGAGACGCAGGTCTCGGCGGCTCCTCAGTCCTCCGCCGCGCATCGGCGGCTAGAGGCGGACGGATGATTTCCGCAGGGAGGCGCCGAGAAATCGCCTCAATACGAGCGTTCATCATGCTCCCGCACTGGAGCAGGCAGAGTCGGACAATGCGCTCGACCTCGTCATCGGTACGAGCGCTTGCCGGTCTCGGTGCGGGAGCCGGGGCCACCACGGGTGCGGCATCGGTGGACGTGCGTCGCTGCTGCTGCTCGCTCAGCGCAGCGACTTGCCGCCGGAGGTCCTCCAAATCATTACGGAGGCGGCCGTTCTCCTCCTGCAACTTCGTGACCTCGTCTGAGGCCGTCCTGTTGAGGAGGGTGCCAACCGCCTCCTTGATGTCCGCGGCAGCCTCCTTCAGACCGCGGGTGAATGTGCCCTTCAGGCTGCCAGATTTGGTGGCAACCTTCAGGACCAAGTCCACCCCGTCCAAGGCCAGCTGACTCAAGGCCACCGCGGATGGCTCCCCTTCTGCCGCTAGAGCAGCGCGTCGCTCGCGTGCACGTCGGGCCATCTCCGACACTTCGTCGGCCGCGACGGCTTTGCGCTGCTCCCTCCTGGTGGCATTGAGCTCCGCCTTGGAGCTCCCAAGCGAGGCACAGCTCTCGCCACCAGGGTCCTCTGTGGTGACCCCCATGTCACTTTCTGCTTCGCTGGCCGCCGGGGTATTGGAGCGCAAAAACCTTCCTTGCGCATCCCTCCGCGGCCGCGAAGCAGTCACCCCCTTTGAAGCCTGCCGACCTCTCCTCGCGGTCGGCAGCTTCGGAGCCAGCAGGCATTCCTCATCTGAGGACAGACCCACTGACCCATCTCCCACCAGAGCAGGGTCGTGTGGACGCTTCCTAACGGACGACGATCCACGCGACCCTCGAACATCCACGAGATTTACTCTCACGTCCAATAAGTGGCTACCAGTAGCATTATCAGCAACAGGGGCCTGGTCGCCTACCCCTGCGCGTCCATCGGTAGCTAATTTACCACTCGCAGGCCCGGGTACCTGCGAGCGCCGGGCGTCAGCCGGGTCGCATGACAAAACACACTCGTTATTGTCCGACATTTCATTAAAGGAATTGGGGGGGTACGCACATCGCTTCCCCAAGGCGATGCGGCCGCTCTTTTTGGGAGGGTATTTGGTCCTCCCGAGGCCCGCGGACGCCTCCGGTGCAGGATATACCGCCCGCTGTTCGGTATTTACAGACTAACTTTTTTTTTTTGGTATTTTTTATAATTTTGTATTGTTTTCTTTTGTTTTTATATTTTTTTATTTTTCTGTTTTAATTTTTTTTTTTTTTTTTTCCTAACCTAACCTAAAATCTAACTAAACCTACCCTCCACCCGGCACCGTGACTCAAAAACCTCGCCACGATGCCCATAGACCGCGGGTTGAGGAGCAACCCACGGTCTTTCCCACCTCGGTCCCCGCGATGTACACGCTGCGGAGACCCGTAGACCGCGGACTGAAAAACGGCACGCGGTCTTCCCCACCTCGCTCCCTACTCGTGCACTCTGCAGCTGCAGAGCGCAGATAGGGAGCCCTCGGGAGCGACTCCTCCGCTCCGGCAGAAATTCGCCACGGACAACAATCTCCTCTTTCCCCGCCACCCCGCGAAGAGATTATTGTCCGTGCCCAGGGTGCACCGGCCTAGCGACTGCTCTTCCCCCCGGACGTATCCAGAAGGGACCAGCAGCCACCGAGCGCACGAGGAGGTTTCCTGCCCTGCACCCCACACAATGATACCCTACACCTAGTGATAGAAAATTTTGGTTGGAATACTGGTATGGTGACCTGCTCCCTAGGCAAATTCAGTATTGTTAATCGCCACGAATAAAGCCATACGACTTTAAAGACAAAAAATGTAATGAAATTTGTTGAAATACGCAATGATGTACCGCGGCCTAGGCTTCTTTTTTGTCAGGGGAAAATCATCAAATGATTTCTCCCACCTAGGGTTAGGTGAGAGAGAGTGTCAGACTCTTACTGACTAAATACATCCCAGTTCCTTCTCCTGCTCTAGGCTGAGGCCGCGGTGACTCATTTCGCTTAACCTGGATAGTTTCAGTCAATAAGAAGTGACTGCACGGTTGGCGGGGTTTTATTTTTAATTTTTTTTTTTTTTGTGAGGGGAAAATCATTAAATGACTTCTCCCGCCCAGGGCCGGGCAGGAGGACTCTTACTGACTAAAAACCCCCCTGTTCCTTCTCCTGCTCTGTGCCGAGGTCGCGGTACCTCATTGCGCTTACCCCGCAACCCCGGCTGAACGTTAGCCCTTTAGGGCCCCGTCTGTGGTGGTCGAATGGCTTTTTGAGGCGCGCGCGGAACGCTACGCGCCGTACGCTCGGGCCTGGTTCTGGTCGGGCGGCGAGCTGCCCTTACTCGCCGACCGCAGGCCCGTGCTTACGGTGGCCGGAGATCGTCCCTCGATCCCCGACGCCCGTAGTGTCGCCAGTTGCGGCTGCTGGGGCGTGAGCAGGAGGATTGCTCCCTCACGCGGGCCGCCTCTCTCTTTGCGAGCATGACTGCTTCACAAAAGGAGGAGACGGCGTCCCAGTTCCTCTCACTCCGCACCATGGCCTCGACTAAGGCCGGGCGCGAGAGGTCGCCGCCGCCGATCACTTCCCTGAGGATACGGCGGTACTCAGCCCAGGCAGGGCATACCGCTACCGTATGCTCCACCGTATCCTATAGGTGGTCCTCACAATGACGACACGCGGGCGTTTCCTCCCGCTGAATCCGAAACAGGAACTTACCGAAGCTGCCGTGCCCGGTAAGCACCTGCGTCAGACGGAAGGTGAGGACGCCGTTGCGTCTCTCAAGCCAAGAGGGGCCTCCTCAAAGAGGGGTCTTACCGCTGCTATGGTAGCGTGCCCGGCCCTCGGTTGCGACAGTCGTTGTTTCCACTCTGCCATGAGATCTCGCCGGAGCTCATTCCGCCACGCACTAATTTGGCGCGGCAGAGGATCTTCGCCCCGGCGACGCGCGTCTGCGCGCAAACTGTAGACGCGCGCGAGCGCCTTCGCTTCTAGATCCCACGGCGGTGATCCGGCAAGGAGGTTCGCCGCCTCCCCGGAGATCGTGCGATACCCGCGGATTACTCGTATAGCCATGACCCTCTGGGACGCGACCAGCGTACGAGCCGGCCGCCGCTTCAAGTCCGGCGCCCACACAGGGGCACCGTAGAGGGCCATGGATCGCACAATCCCCATATACAACCTCCGGCAGGAGGCGTTTGGCCCCCCGAGGTTGGGAAGGAGCCGCTTGAGCGCGGCCCCAGACCGTTCCAACTTAGGGGCCAAACGACGAAAATGCTCCGTGAAGTTCCATCGGCTGTCGAGGACGAGACCCAGGTACTTCATCGCCGACTCGACGCCGACTTATTTGGGACCCACCTGGAGGTGGCGCGCTCCGACGGCCATAGAAACACATGGCCTCGGACTTGTGGAGCGCCACCTCGAGTCCCAACTGCCGGATCCTTGCAACGACTGTCGCAACCGCTTGTGACATCAGGTCGGCCGCCGCCTGATGCGACCTCCCGTTCGCCAGCACCAGCGTGTCGTCAGCATAACAGACAATGCTGACGCCGCTCGGGAGGTCAGGGTTGGCGGAGTGGCTGGGCAACTGGCTGCCACGCAACGTGTCGCGGGCTCGATCATCGGTCCGCACGGAATAACTCTTTGTGTGATCTACAAATCGTTGTTCCGGGTCTGGGTGTGTGTGTATGTAAAATAGTATGTTTGTAAACGCATCCACGACACAGGAGATAATTTTATTATGGGGCAACGGTATTTAAAAAAAAAATAAAAAATCGCCCAACCCAAGGCAGGACTACTACGGCAAACGATTTCCCAATACTAAAAAAAATCCGCAATATTCATCCGTACTCTTGCCGAATGTGGCCTGTTCCAGCCCTAACGAATTAATAATATCATTCATATTCATATCATACAATTTACTGGACCCAATTTTCTTTCCAGGTAGCTGATCTAGAAACAGGCATACCGCTAGGACCTAACCAGCGGGGAGAATTATGTGTCAAGGGTGAACTGCTGATGAAAGGCTACCTCGGCCGGGACAGAGGTGATGAACTGGATAGCGAAGGTTTCTACAGAACTGGAGACATAGCGTACTATGATGAGGATGGATACTTCTTTATTGTGGATCGACAGAAGGAACTTATCAAGTATAAGGGGTATCAGGTTGGTAGGACTATTCATGATGGTGAAGAGTTTTTTCTATCGGAAGAGAAGATGAGATGAGAATATGCTGGTTGTGTTAATAGTCCATTTTTAAAAGGACTCAGATTACTGTATTGACTTCGTAACGTCGCGGTAGCCCGTAAATTAAAGCGCCCGCTTCTCATGGGGGTCAAGTTTAGGGTGCGAGTCCCAAACGTGGCAAGAAGGTACCACGGTGACTTTTTTCCAACTTTATGTAGGTACTTTCTTAGATTGTTAAGACACCATTGACATACGATGAAGCTAATACGCTTGAAATTGCCAATCTATCTAGAGCAAGCGTAATGATTAGGTAATCTTGAGCAAGCGTGGTGATTAATGCTCAAACATTTTACACATTCCGTGTGAAAAGAGACCTTTACTCATTCATCATCATCATCATCATCATCATCATCAGCCTATAAGTGCCCACTGCTGAGCAAAGACCTCTTCTCATATGGAGAAGGTTAGAGCATTAATCATCACGCTTGCTCAATGCGGGTTGGCGAATTCAAACTAATAATTAGAAATTATAAGTGCAGGTTTCCTCACGATGTTTACCTTCCCGTATGTCAGTGGTATAATCATACATATAACTCGGAAAAAGTCACATTGGTACTTGCCAGGTTTCGAACCCACACGAGACCCTCATGCACGAGAAGCGGGCTCCTTAACCTACAGGCCACCATGACTTTACTCAGTAGTGAGCACTTATAGGCTATGATTCCAGAATCAAAAACCAAATAATGTTCTGCTCAAGTAAGAAACCAAACAGCGAAAACCTTTACCCAGCAGGTCCACGTTAATATTTTAAGAGAAGACATTTCAAAGGATAGATATGATGAATTTTTCACAAGAACTTATATGGATTTGAAAAAGATTTTACCAGCGCGATCTTAATTTAGCCAATATTTATATTCGTTTATTCAGCATATAAACATATAAATTACATTTTTAAATATTTCATAAAAATATAATATATAAAAAACATTTAAAAATATAAAAAAATTGTGTCCCACCGGTATCGGAAACAGGGTCCAAGCTACCGGGCGGTCAGGGCTCCAGAGAAAGGAACCTCCTAACAATACGAGCCGTGTCCAGGAGTACCACTTTCTGATCAAGCCCTAGCTCCAGCCACCTAATGAGAGCCTCCTAAGGTGTTGACGAGGCTCTTAGCTATTATGCCATGTAGAATTTAGATAATATCATTATTAATCTTCATAACTTATTATAACGTATTCAGGAAATACTTCTACGATTCATCTTTTCAAATCGTAATAAAAACCTTCCCAAAACCAACAGTCAACATTTCAACCTTATCATCCTCATTCAGGTACCACCAGCAGAACTGGAAGCAGTCCTGCTGCAGCATGAAGGTATCAGAGATGCGGCAGTTATAGGACTTGAAGATAAAGACGCTGGTGAACTGCCTCTTGCGTTTGTGGTGAGGCTCCCAGGGTCCAATGTCACTGAGCAGGAGGTCAAGGATTTTGTGGCTGAGAGGGTGAGTAGAGGAGGTTTTTGAAAAGCCTTTGCCATATTTATTGTTGCCGTATTGTGATATCAGAGTAGACCCACCTCCTCTCTGACCGAAAGGTGGCGTAAGGGCCGACCAAATGCCAAAATTGATTGATGAACGGTACCTAATCAAAAATATTGTCATTGTACTCGATTTTTGGCATAAACACCATATGGATGCGCAATCTCAAAAATCGAGCTTAATCCGAAGAATTTAAGATAATTAATTAAATGCTCCCGTAGGAGAATTTAGTCAAAGTCAAAGTCAAAATCGTTTATTTCAATTAGACCCATACAGGCACATTTGAACGTCAAACTAAATTTTAAAGATATAAAGTGTCAGTCTGTCGGTCAGTCCTCTTATTGAAGCTATTTGCTCGTTCCAAAGTGTAGATTCCGGTGGAGAAGAACGAGCTCTATGGTTACCCTTTTTAAATTAGTGTCACATCAAGATTCTTTAATTAGAGACTTAGACTATGTATACATTTGACAGGGTTTTTTTATGAACTTACGAGTTTAAAATAAGTCTTCTTTACAATACTCGGCCACTGAAAGCCCGTGGGTCTGCATCCGACCAGAACTAGACTCGAGCCACGACGTGTAGCGTTCCGCGCGCGTCTCGAAGATATAGAACTCAATAGTTCTGATGATCAGGGTAACATTTTTGCGACGGATATCTAGCATGGATTGTCTGGTGGTAAGCAATCGGTGGCTATGCATACCCCTTTTGGGGAAAAGGGCTTTAAGGATTGGGTAGGGATGCTTTTAGGGATTGGGAATGGGTAGTAAACCTAAGGCTTCCGGTAACATAAGCCCTGAGTGACAACTTCAGCCATCAATTCAAATGACTAGTCGTTCAGGCCGTTACTTAAATAACTACATTGATGATAGATTAGTCAACATATCGTTTTGTCTTGTTCCAGTTATCAAGCCCCAAACACTTACGCGGCGGAGTGCGTTTTGTCGAAGAAATACCAAAGACTCCCAGTGGGAAGGCTATGAGAACGAAATTGAGGAAAATGTTGAAAAATAATATTAAAAGTAAATTATAAATAGGTACCATAAAGAGGTAGGCAAAGGTGTTTTTGTAACAGAAGCTGGAATAGAGCATCTGACTGTTCCAGAGGACGTAGTTTAAAGCAAAAAACCCAAGAAACAAATAAAAGAAATTCTAAAACAAATGGGGGTGTGAAACAACTACAGCGTTGTGTTTCATACAACCTGCCAACAAACTCCTTTACAGTTTCGCAGAAGTAATATTGTGTAAATTTACCGTCGCTATGAATAAACGCTTTTTTCATTTTCATTTTATTTCGCGGTGTGAGTGAGGTTATCGGATGCCCAATCCTTTCCCTTCCCCCATTAGTTTCCAATCCTTAAATAAACGAAACCCTTAGCCTCAAAAGGCCGGCAACGCTTTCGTAATTCCTTTGGTATTGCGGGTATCCAAAGACGTCGCCGATTACTTATCATAAGGTATTCCGTCTGTTCGTTTGCCGACCATATTAATATACCATAAAAAATGTACTGAAAATGACGGTTAGGGTTTACGAGATTGAGGAAGCATCACCGGTAACCTCCTCTCTTACGCAGGGAAACAGAAAGCCGTGATTGTATCACGTCGGTTTTCTATGAGGCCGTGGTATCACTCCAGTCAAGCCGACACATGGCTCTCCTACACTCCCAAATTCTCAAAAATAATTTGATTGATCCAAAAATTGGAACTGAAACCTTGACGTCGACAGCTAATGTTCTTAAGATGAAAGATTTTTAATCAAACTTAAGTGCAAGTGCAAAATATTAAACACCTTTGTCTGCCTTTTTTGGGAAAAATAACAATTGTCATTGTAAATCTTAGATACTTAAACAAAATCAATGTATAGAAAGTAAGTTTTTTTATAAAGTACTTAAATAAAAATTTAATACCTAATAACTACAGTTTTATTTGTCTCGTTTTAATCAAACGTTTAGGTGATGCAGAAAGGAACTTAAGATAGGTACAAGAAATAAGATAGACCACGATATCAACAATAATAGTACATATTCTCTAAACAGCACATAATAAGAAAAGCATGTAGGTTCGTACAACAAATCCGCCAACGAAATCATTCAAACACATTTCGAAAATATGTCATCTAATTCGTGACATGAATTTACAGTACATCCTTATCCTTAACTAGCTGTTACGCAACATCACCGAGAGACAAAAGCAGTTGTGAATGTGGCTTAGTGACATAAGGATGTGCCACTATCCTCTTTGTAAAGAAAACGGAATAATCGTTTCTATAACACAGTCGACTCGAAAGGTGTTATTTACCAACGTATTACCAACTAAATGGTTACATAAACATTTCACTAAACTTGACTCTCAAAAATATCCGTCACTCGCTCCCCTCGTGCCGCGGCGAGCACAGAACAATTTACTTTCAGTTTTATCGACGAACCATTAATAACGGTTCGTCGAACAATTCAAATTTTTAAAACGTTCGAACGTAATTCCTTTGAAGGGGTTGCTATTACCAAAAAAATAATAAAATAAATAAAGAATAAAAATGTATTTTTTTACAAAAGTGTCAGTGTTTATGCTTCTATTTATCAGTGATTCAATCTGTGATATCGATTTAGATGTAGTCAATAAAAATTTACATGACTCAAAAAACTTTTTGAATAAAAAGACTAATGTGGTTTTATCGAAGATTCTAAAAGAGAATAAGTTTAATTCGGACGTCGTGAATAGTGTTGGAACAAATAGTGATGTGGTAAACAATTATGAAGACATAACGATACTAGATGACAATGGTAAATTGAAAAATTTGAAGTTCAAATCTGCTGCGCCTAAGCAGCCATTTGGATTGATCAATAGTGATTTGACTTTGACTAAAGTGAATCAAATCGAAGTGCCAGTTACTGAACAGTATGAGGACGAAGTGAAATTCGAAGCTGTCGGTCAAAAACCGAAGTTTTTCGACGAATTGAGCTCTTTGGGATGTAAGTACCGACTTTGATACACATAATTATCATAGAAACTCTAATTTTTTTTGTGTGTTTTGGAATACAGTCGTATTACTTTTCTTGCCCAGGGTGAGGCGTTTAATACTCTTAAGGCCTTACTACGAAACAATTATTTTTTTTAGTCTAGGTCTAAACCATTGAGCCAGTTTTACCATTTCAAATTGAAGGTAGGTGAGAATAAGATTCTAAATACAAAACCTGACTCAATGGTTTAAAGCTAGGCTAAAGATCTTCTTTTGTTAAAGGGGGGTTACTAACTAAATACCACCCCGTTCCTTCTCCTGCTCCAGGCTGAAGCCGTGGTGCCTTATTGCACTTGTCAAGAAAACCCGGCTGATAAAAATATAGATAAAGAACAAACTTTACGAGTATTGTATAACAAGTATTATATTTTATATAAAAAAAAAACATTTCCTGACATTAAGATGTTCACTTGTGTCGTGGATGCGTTTGCAAACATACACACATCACACCCAGACCCGGAACAACAATTCGTGGATCACATAAACAGTTGTTCCGTGCGAAAATCGAACCAGCGACACGTTACGCGGCAGCTTACTCAGCCACTGCGCCAACCAAATCTTTTGGTTCTCCGGAGTGGGTCTATTGAGAGGACTCGGTGTCCCTTACAGGTGCTGATGGTAGCCATCGGGAGGGTATCAGTGAGGTAAAATCCCTCACAACCTATACTTTTTTCCAAAAATTTCGTCACTTCAAGGCCATTTCACCGTTAGCAAAACAGGCAGCCTACCTTCTTTTTCTTTTAAAAAAACGTCCCAATTTAAGGTCTTCTGTGTCATGGATGCGTTACAATCACCCATGGATTAATGAAGCGCTGATTGAATAAGTTATAATTAAGTCATAGTTATATGTAATATAAGTTATATCAATTATGCAACGGAGAGATTGATTAGTTAAACACAAATCTCCGGAACTACTCTTTCGAATTAGGTAATAAAATATTCAAATCCATATAACCATTATTTCTTAATTTAAATAACGATAGAAATAATGTTCTTACGTTTTCGAGTTTTTTTTTTAATGTTAAGCGTTTTATAGGTAGGCTAAAGAGGTAAAATTTTTAAGTTTGTATGAAGGGTCTTTGGTCTTCGCTGGTCGGATTCCCAAATTCTTTTACTAATAGATAGTTACAACGTTCCTGACTACTATAGGCTAAGTGCTTTAAGTATGGGAGAGCCATGCTTCAGCACGAATTGGTCGACCGGAGTGGTACCACGGCCTCACAGAAAACCGGCGTGAAAAAACCACAGCGTTACGTGTGACTGAGATTACCGGAGGCCCAATCTTTCCCCTCCTCCGACCCTTCCCCAATCCCTAAATCTCCAAATCTCTAATCCCTAAAAGGTCGGCAATGCACTCGAAACTCCTCCGTTGCTTACCATCAGGTAATCCGTCTGCGCGTTTGCCGACATATTACATAAAAAAGGCTAAAAACTATACTTGATTTGCGTATCTTAGTCAAGAGCTATCGCTATAAACGCTGCTGTATTTAAAATCCCGAGATACATTTCTTGTGAAGTGCAGTAGTTTTGAAGTGTGCAGTTTTAGCACAGATCATTGCAACATTAGAAAAAAATGGCTGTTTACTGAATCCTCTTATTTCGTCAACCACTAATAGTAAAGTACTTTTTTTTTCGGCAACCCACTCGTAACACTAAAGGAGTTACGAGTGCGTTGCCGGTCTTTTGGGGATAGGGGATGCGGATATAAGGATCGGGAAGGGACAGGGGAAAGGGAGGGAATGGGCCTCCAGTAACCTCACTAACACAACGCTGTAACTTTACCGTATGTACTCTAATGTACTGTTCATGTTAGCATTGTAAGATAGAATATCTTATTCGAAACAATACACGAAGGCTTGAGTCATCAGTGAATGTGTATTTAGTAAGGAACTACATACTTACATACGTACATTGTATTAAAACGCACGAGGGGCCCAACTAGTTAAATGTTCTATCGACAGATGGCGTTGCTATCGCTTATTAGCTAGCTTGCTTTGGACAAAAACGCGAATAAATCGAATTAAATTATTTATTCCCGTCTATGTCGCATATAGGACACAAAACAAACAAGACAATAAAAACAATAATAATGGTATAACAATTTAAGATATTTTATTTAAAAGATATTTCTAATCAATGTATGTCCAAGAGTTTTAACGAGCTTTCGGATTACTTGATAATAAGCAATCGACGCCGCCATAAACACCAACCTTTTGCGGATTAGGGTTTCGGAGATTTTTTTATTTTTTATTTTTTTTTTTTTTCGGATTAGGGAGGTACTGGGAGAGGGGAAGAAAGATTGGGCCCCCAATAACCCCACTCACATGGCAAAACACAACGTTATGGTTATTTCACGTGGGTTTTCTGTGAGGCCGTGGTATTACTCCGGTCGAGCCGACCCATTCGTGCCGAAGCTTGGCGCTCCCACACTTATTTGTCTAACACATCAAATATAGTGTCTGCCCTTCCTTTTATTATTTCGTAAACAGTTACTAATAAAATATTTGAAATGTCGTTGTGACTTGAGTTGTTATTTACCCGCGAGTATGATAACAGGTCAACAAATATCAGCCTGTCCTGTCCTGTTGACTGTGTTTTTTACTGGAATTCTGATAAAAGCTGTTATTCATGTAAATGGTTACGTATTAACTGGCTGTTAATTAAATTCTATGAGTTTATGTGACCATTTTTTTGTCAGGGTAATATCATCAAATGACATCTCCCTCCTAGGGTGAGGCGAGATGGAGAATCAGACTCTTATTGTCTAAAAACCCTCCCGTTCCTTCTCCTGCTCTAGGCCGAGGCCGCGGTGCCTCATTGCGCTTACCATGCAACCCCGTATAACTGGGACGTGAGCTGTTTTTAATCCGCGACAAGTCAAATCAAAATATTTTTTTTTTGTTGGCTTTATATAGTTGTTTTGTCGGCTAAGATATACAAATATTTGTGTTTTATGTTTATTACATTTATTTTTTAGAATAATTATTTTATTAAATTTAAAAAAAATGTTAGTATTAATGAACAAATTGCCATCTATAATACCAGCTACCTCTGCTAGCGAGAATA